TCAGCGTGAGTACTACCAACAGGAAGGCCATACTTTCTTCCATTGACTGAGAGGGTATTTCCTGCTTGGTACGCCTTGTACACATGTGGGTAGATGGGACCTTCGCGGTTCTGCTTTTGTGCCAATTTTGCGTGTTTGTGTTCGTAATCTTGTTGTCGCAAAGCTTCTTCCCGCTGTCCTTTTGTTTGTAATCGACTAAATATATCGTTGCCTTCTGAATCTTTCATTGATGTCAATTCATCTCGGTGGGCAATAAGGTCAATCACAAAATCCAAATCATCGAATCCTACAATTTCCGTCAAGGATATCTGTAATTCATCGGGTGGGGCACTTGCACCCAACACTGAGAGAAGTTGTTGCTGCAGTTCGGAGGCATTTAAACTAGAATTCTGTTCCGCAATAGACTGACATTTATGGAAAAGCCATTGGTGGTTGTAAAATCCCTTTGGTTCAGAAATTTCTTGTCCATTCGCTCTGTCATCTACCATCTCATCTGAATCATCAACTGCATCCTCATCCTCACTGATGATGTCCCATAGATCTTCAACTGATTCAGGAGCTGAAGCAATATCATCTTCGTCAAAGAAGAGATCATTCTCATACAGTATTGAGTCTTCGGATTTTGGGAGCTTTAAATCCGCCATAGCTTGCCTCATAACCGCCAGTTGTGAGAGCCATTGTGATTCTGCCAGTTGAATTTCAGGGGACATTGTTTGTCTGGCAGAGTGTGGGACTACACTCCAGAAGGAAAAGAATAAATTAAAACTGAGCACAAATGCAATATCTAATCCAGGGCGGAATAAATGTCTGTTAACAAACTTATCTTGCTTATAGGGGACGTGAAATACTTCATGAATGCGGATACCGCAGCAAGGCCTAGCCCTAATTAGACTAGCCGCCATTAGCGCGCGCCGAGCGGCTATTAGATTGGCACTGCCAAAGTGGCGGTGGAATCAGCCAACGTCCAGACATAAGAAATTCCCTTCGCAACGTCCCACGTCTCCCCGTATTCTGTTTAGTTGTTGCTGGTGCTTGCTCTAGAATTTCTGGGAGAGATCGCCTCCTGTTTCTGTACCTACGCTTATTTCTTCCGATCTAATTTCTTAACTGACACGAATCCCCCTCCTGTACCCTCCTGGTGTCCTAATTTACACTTCGATCCCGGACAGGGACGACATAACATCTTCTCCCAACCATGACCACGACAGGGGATATCATCTATATTGGGGTATGTTCGATTCTACATATGTTTATTTTCTTTCCTGTCCAAGACCATGCTAATATATTCCAATATGTAAACAGTTCTTCAGTAACGACAAAGGGCAGCCTCCGGAGGAGCTTTACGGCGCAGATTCCATTGTCGATTCCATACTTACCAGGTTCATCCGAAAGAGGTGTGTAGTATGAACATATCTGCATTTTCCCACTTCTTACCCCAGTCACAATCCCTGTCATTTTGCAAATGTTAGATAAACTGCGACGCTGACGTTACTATTCCTGCAGCCAACTCGAGTTAATAACATTTGTATGCAAAACTCTCCTGGAAAAGGCCACTGTTAATGATACTGCCGTTACCGTTATCAAAGATGATGTAGACAGCCAGAATGTCGGCGTTTTATACTGCTTTAAACCCCATGACCGTCCCGCCACTGTCGTAGTCGCCCGGCCTTCCTATTCTGAGCAAATCGCAAGGAGTATTGCAAAAGGAGTTCAGCTGAAGATCAGAAAGGACTTTGCAGTGCCACAAGATTTCGATTTAACACTCCAAAAGAGGTCGAGTGTGGAGCGGAATAAGCTTGGAATCTATGATGAAGCAGTTGTGAAAGCTAAAAGCAAACTCAAGGAATATGCTCAAGATCCAGGCAAGGCTGATGAGCTTGCGAAAATCCAGCAGCAGCTGGATGACACGAAGCAGGTGCTATATCAGACCGTTGATAAAATGCTGGAGCGAGGGGAGAAGCTCGATAGTCTCATCGCGAAGAGCGACAATTTGAGCATGCAGAGCAGGGCGTTTGCTGCTCAGGCAAAGAAACAGAACTCCTGCTGTTTGGTAATGTAGGGGGGGGGGGGGGGGGGGGGGCGTGTTCATATTATTTTCTATTTCCATGAGTGATCGCGCAATGGGACGGGTATTGAGACTTGGTATATAATATTCACATTTGTCCCTTCTTTTTCTTTTTCTTTTCTTTTTCTTTCTCTTTTCTTTTTCTTTTTCTTTTTGGTTTCCTTTTTTTCGATTCCCTATAATTTTCTTTCCCTTTCGGAAACACTTCACTTTCGCACAGCCTCTTATTTGGTTTCCTTATGACTCACAAACTGAGTTTCATACTGTTCTTTTTCTGCCCATCGAGTTTAGACAGGAATTCACATATCCATATGCCTCAATAATGACACTGTTTCAAGTAATATATATGTATGTGCCTTTTTAAGCAAGGGTCTCACAGAAAGCCCCTGCCCTGAACAATTGTGCTCTGGCATAGTTCCAGCTTACTTAAGTAAATCACATGACGTCAGGCAGTATTGTCCAACTCGAAATCACAACAGTTGCACTGGCGCATCACTTGGAACTTCTACCAACAACCAGACGTCTTCCACGTTTCTCAGCCCTGCATAGAAATGTGCAGAAATGATATTAATTAGCTGAAGGCCCAGCAGCCATGGTGTCCCTTTGGCCATGGAAGGTATTATCCAACTGTTGCCCCGCATTCTCCAAACTTGATTGAAGACCTGAGCTCAAGGAGCTGATGCATTTCTCGTTGCAGGGTTCTAATACCTCACCAGCAGAGTTTGAAAAGACACTCTCTACATTATCTGCAAAGATCTCAGGGGCGACCGCCCGGCTAGATACACATAGACAACGCTCTAGACGATACAGAGTCCTCTGGACCTTATATACATCGTTTGCTTACATCCTCTACTCGATCATTATCACCCTTGTGCTAGGATGGCAATATTGGGGAGCAGTTGAATACTTCGCCGTGGTTGGTGGACCAGTTTTGTAAGCCCCCATGTTATGATGCTATGTTTCTGTCTACAGATGTTCTAACTTTTGTAGGATCTACGCTATACGGCTAGGTCTCGATAAATACTACCATTATCGCATCTCCGGCACGCAAAAACATTTGGAGGAACTGCACAAACAACGGGATGCAACAATTGAGAAACTCAAGGAGGCTACTAAGTATAACTCCACGCAGCAGCTTTTAGAGAAGTATGGCGGGGACTTTCACAAACGCTCTGGTTCCCAGAAAGGTGCGGCTTCCGGTCAGGGCAGCGGCGGGCCCAGTGGGGAAAAGAGGGGCCCGAAGATAAAAACATTACTCTCACACCCAATTTCGAGTGGTAGAACGGGTATCCCCCCGCCTCCAACTGCAAACATACCACGACCGCAGCCAGACTCCCTGCCAACTACTCCAATCCGATCTCCACCCATGTCTGACCAGCGGGGACCGCCAGGCCCATCTAATCTAAATTCCACTCCATATCTGCACAATCCCGTGCAGTGGCCTCCAGAAACTATGGACGAATTTAGTTTCACACCTAATATGTTACCAACAGCCCAACAACAGAACTATAACTCTCTTCAACCCCACTGGTACGATCGAATCCTAGATGTGTTACTTGGCGAAGACGAAACCCTAGCGAAAAATCGCCTGGCACTAATCTGTACACATTGCCGTCTCGTCAACGGTCAAGCGGCCCCAGGTGTCCGAACCCTACAAGAAATCGGACGTTGGCGCTGCGGATCCTGTGGCACGTGGAACGGCCAAGAAAGTGAGACAAAAAAGGTGCTCTCTGGGATCCAAGAGGCTGAGAGTGCCGTTGAAACCGATTCCAGCTCTAGGAGCCGTTCAGGCAAGACATTCCGCAGCTGGAATCGAAGCCAGGATAACCCATCGGTGGTTCTGGAACAGTCAGCATCATCCGGTTTCGTCTGCGGAACAGAGGGGGCATGGGAACCCATTTCAGGGAAGGCTAGTGTGACCAGTGAGATTGATTCGGGGAATTTTTCTGCCGGGGAGGGTACGGATGCAAGTATGCTTGTTGCGCCAACCAGTAGCGATGGCGAGGAGGGTGAATCTTGCGAAGAAGGGGAAGGTGGTAAAAACAAGGGTGTCGGTATAGATAAGCGGGCGGAAGTGAAGGTGGAGGAAGATGAAGACAAAGTGGATAATCCGGGTCTTCGTAAACGGGTAAATGGGCAAGCGAGCGGGAAAATCAAGGGTGGTTGGGGGATTGAAGCCTGAAAACGGGACTCGAATAGTAACCTGGACGCGCTAGAAGTCGCCACGGACAGCGCCAAAGAGTTAAGATATATTGAATAGGAGGGATAACTTAGAGTTGAAAGACTCACCCTTCGTTCTACTTGCTGCCTTGCACTAACTACTCCTCCTACATATCCTACCTATTGGACCTGGTTGCCTCCTGGAATAAGGATACTGGTTCTGTTCATGTCTCACTGTCCTTCTCTTTCACTTTTTCCTTGAATTCTTAGTTCATAGTTAGCTGTTCCATTTTATCATCAGAGGGAAAATCATCATTTATATTAGTTAAAACTCATTTTCATGAGTGTGATCTGAGATATGATTGTTCAGAAACATGCACATATCCAAATACATATACATTCATTCATTCATTCATTCATTCACACACACACACACACACACCAAAAAAAATAAATAAATAAATAAAAAATTAAACTCTGGAGAGAACTAAACAGAATATATTACAAGTTCTAGATCATAATTAGAACCTCTGTATAGAACGAAATATATACATCTCACGTGATACCAAAAAAAAGGAAGCCCGCGTCCTATATACGGACAAGTTGTTAGCCAAGCGCGAGGTATGACGTTGAAATCGTTTGGCAAGATTGACCCGAAATGAATGGGCGATCGATCTAGTTGAAGGTTGAGAGTGAACTGTATGTACGAACATATGTGTATTGAAACGCCAATATATGCCAAAAGGATTCTTGCAATAAAATATAAAAAATAAAGTCAGATGCTGGCCCTCCTAGGCGCCATGGTCCTCCTTAAATTCTTTTTCTCCTCAGTTTCGTCTGGAATCGGAAGGCCACCCTCATTCTTCAACCGCTCCAAAAACTCGCGTCCATACGCATATCCGATCTTATAAATCTCGTCGAACTTGGCAAAATCTAGCGTTCCAAATGCATCAATTGGGGGTCGCATGTACAAACAACCTGGAGTGTTTTTCGCGGTCTCCAACGCACTGAAGGAGGACACGTAGGCAAGACGGGCTTGGATTTCGGCAAGGGTGGGCGGATTAGCGAGGGAGGAGAAAGGGTTCCAGCGGTTGACCAGGGCCCAGAAGCCGGAAAGGGAGTCACCGTAAGCCTGTGGGGTATTATCGTCGATAGAGCCGACGTCAATGGCGAAAATGACGTCTGCGCCAAGCGATTTCATTCGGGAAACAGGGAGGTTGTCGACGTAACCGCCGTCGAGGAGCATGTTGCCTTCGTCGCACATGGGTGGGAGGAGACCAGCTAGTGACATCGACGCTCGCACGTAACGCCATACATAGCCCGACGTGTGGAATTCGTTGCACGATTTGCTGATATTGGTGGTATTGCAGTAGAATTCCAGCCAGAAGTCTTCGATTTGGCTGTCGCCAAAAGCTTTGAAAATGCCACGATTAAATTCATGCCCGGTTGTGTATGACGCCGATGGATAGGTGAGGTCAAGGGCGAATCGCCATATGCTTCCCATGCGGCCGGCAAATTTCTTTGCACGACCATAGAGGGGCACAACATCGGCATCTCTCGCATAGAGTGCGCCAATAAAAGCACCTATGGATGTACCTCCAATTATATCAATGGGGACTCCCGCTTCTTCCAGAGCCTTGATCACCCCTACATGAGCAATTCCCCTTGCCCCTCCGCCGCCAAGAACAAGCCCAACAGATTTACCACAAAGCCGACGAGCAAGCCGGTGGAAATCCCCTTTGAATGGAGTGGTTGCTGAGTATAGAGGAGTCTGGTGAATGCGACGAGAGGTGTACTTTTGTAACTCAGCCTGCAGAACCTGCACCCGTTGTTTCAATACGGTACCAAAGCGCTTGGTCACAGGATGGGATGGCTCTGTCGTTAAACGAAACGACATTTGGATGTGATGGTGTCCGCCGTTGATCCACATGCGATTTTTTAGCCATTGTCTGGTAAGCCCTGGGGGCGAGTATCTATCCAGATGCAGGAGTACGAGCTCCTTCCTAGCAGTAGTTTTCATACCAAGAAGGAATCGTTCATATTCGCCAATACTAGGGGAGCCCTCAGCGACCCCGACCAAAAGGATACAATCTGCCTGGGTAATGCAAGTTTGGGTCCAAGGAGCATTCACATTTGTATCTGTAACGTATAGTACCATACCATATCTCTCCTCCAAATCTGCTAGATACTGGGATAGTTTCAACTTACCCATTCTGCTGAATGCATGGCGGCCCAAATGATTGAGGATATCCGCTTGATGTAGAGCAGCCACCCCGTTGGTGACACCAATCTGGTTAAATGCATTCAAAAGGCGGTTCCCAAATTCTACAACGGGGACACCAGCAGTGACTGGCAAAATGGCAACAGTGCGGAGATTTAAAGTAGAGGTTCCAGTCATCGCGCTTTCTTGAATGCCTTTGTCGTTGGGCTTCTCTATAAGCGGGTTAAGAATAATGTGCTTCATTCTCTGGGCGATCAGTTTGGAGATTTGGATGGTAATGTTGGGATGTTCCTGTGCAAGACTATTGAACAGAGTTTTCGGGAATTTTGCTAGTTCAGTATCACGGATGGCATGGAGGGTAGCGGGCCGCGTCGACTCAGTCATAACTTCCAACTCCCCAACACTATCCCCTTGACCATACTCTCCCATGACACTCACTTTACCATCACCTTTCTCCCAAAGAGACCGAAGACGACCATTAAGGACAATGTAGATCGCATCGCTTTCATCGCCTTGGTGATAAATAACTTCGCCGGCGTTAACTTGAACCCATTCTAGAGCAAAATCAATATGCAAAATTAGGCGAGGAAGGACCGTAGTAAGGCGCTTCGCCATCGTTAAAAGCACAAGTGGATGCTTGTCAGCGATCCTTTCGAGACACGCCCGAGGAAGAAAGCCAACATAAACGTCTGTTTTCGCTGTAACGTCCGTAAAAGATCTAGAGGAAGTAATGGACCCAACATAACCATCAATGCCGCCGGGCTTTACCATATATAAGGATGTGCGTGTCACGGGTCCCCTCCGCTGAATTTGGCCACCCCTTATGGAAGATGAAGCTCGAGAGGCGGCGGGTCGTTTAAGTGGTTTAGGCATTCTGGCTGATTCAAGACGTGACGCATCACAAGGTCGCAAAAGATCCTCGCTTTTGTCATTGACTGGTATGCCAACGTCCAAAAATCCGTCGATAACATAATAAAGACCTGGGCTCCGCTCCCCTTGTTCGACAAGTAATGAACCTTTCGGGAAAAATACAATTTCTATCTCGTCCCGCAGCTCCGCCTTAAGGTTGACAATAGGCGAAGTCCCTCCAGCGCTGGTAACAGACATAGACATGAGCGATTCAGAATCCGCATCGCCGAATGAATCGTACGGATCTATAAAACCAAAGGCATTGTTAAAGGCAGCCTTCTGACGTTTGAAATCGTATGAGACTAGTTGTGGAGACGCATCTCCCGAGTTATGGGATTTTCGAAGTGCCTCGTTTGTGCTTCCTGTAAGGCCGAGAGCTTTTACCATACAATCGAGGATAGACTCGCGAAAAATGTAATCCTCGTCAATCGACTCCTGCATGTAATATGAAGGACTTTGACTAATTAGGCTAAAAGGAGGAGGTTTTCCGTGTAAAGCAGGGGATGGGAAGGGAGTTGTGGGACTATTTAAAGTCGTAGAATGCTCTTGGGTGAAACCCTTAAGACGATCATATCCATAACGAGGGCCATAACGAGAGAGTTGAATGGTAGAAAGTAAGTCTCCCGGACTCACGCCATTGGCTTCCTTTTCAGGGAGGCGTGTTACATCGTGGACTGGATGCCTGGCCTGAGCGGAAGAGATTTTAGCGTATAATGCAGCGTCCTTCCGCAAAGCGCTACTCGATCGGCGCCTCCTCGAAACGGAAGGATTGTGAAGAGCAATCCCTTTTGTACCCTCCTCTGGACCTAGGCGATCTCTCTCTTTTGTAAATTTATCCTTTAGCCTGTCTAGCGCCGCTCCGCGAAGATGATTCGGAAGGTCATATGAGGTGTATTTATTCATCTGCCTCTCAATACTCAGGACTTCCGTAGTCAAGCCTAGGTATGAATGCGCCGTAGCAAATGTAACTCGTTGGAGTCTGGTAAGAATGACCTGGATTATATGCGCCGTTGCTCGAGGATAGACCCGGGTTAGGCGGCGGAAAGCGCTTGCAGGGATGATGGCAATGGTAGTGTCTACCATCGCGCGTGCCACGATGTCTGGATGGACAGATTTTTTCTGATCCATTTTCCGCAATTTCCTGTGTTTATATTCATGGGTGGTGGGTTCATTTTGCAAAAGTGAATGGCTGTCTTCAAGTGCGAGGTGCGGAACAGTAGGAAGAGGGGTTGAATTTCCATTTATGGGCGGGGGATTCCCTCTAAATTCTTGAAACGTCGATACTGTTGGACTCTCCACGAATGGGGAAGGGGTCAAGGGAGTAGACCCTGCACCACGAGTCGGGTCGATGCTAGAGGTTCCGGATTCCATGTCCTCAGTGTGCCTTAACTTGACATCCTCAGTGAAAAGCGATAATATAGAGAATAGAGACGACATTGAGGCTCCATTCTTGACCTCGGTTAGTAATTGATATCCCTGATGTTTATGACCATCATTCCCTTCGTCTTCTTCCATTGAATCCTCCGCATCATGGCTAGCGCTTGGGCTGCTTTTGCTGTAGTCATTCTGGCACTCCCGAATGGATTTGACGAATATCTGAACAGCACCATCCACAACTAGGCAGAAACCTTTCTCTTCTTCCAACAACAGGGTTTTCCCCGGCAATCAATTTCCTCGTTTGCATAGTCCGCGTCAATTCATGAAAAACAGGGCGTTCAAGGTATCCAAACACTTTAATTGCACTAAGAAACTCGTCGAGGTAATTAGCTAGTCCAGGTTTAGAATCGCCATCCTGGGTATCTGGGAAGAGATCGATTTGAGGCGCTTTTCGTTGAGGCTCCGGTGGCAGGCGGGAGTACACATTCAAAAACCGGTAGCGGACAAAACCAGCTAATTGTTGACACCAAGACCACAAGGATGACAAGACTGAGATACACAGTGCATTAGCAATTTCAATCTCCAACAAAATATTAAAGGGGAAACTTCTCAAAGCGGGGAAATACGTACAGCGTTGTGAAGTTCATGGTAAATGTTAGGCTCATAGAAAATAGAGTAAATAAACAAGTTGGAAGGGTGATTGTAGTGAAGGTAATAATCCAGTATAGGACGCTGGGTATGACCTGAAAGATCAGGAAGAAGAGACGCCCAACAAACGTCGCCATGGCAAAGAGAGAAGAGGTTTCACTGAGGGACTGAGGGGTAGAAGACATGTGTGAACAGACAATTGAAGGGGACGAAGGAGGAGCTGTTGACGACAAGAGAGCCAAAGAGGACTCTAGTGGGGTTAGGGGAAGGGATGTCGTGGGGGACGCAGATGACGTCGGATTGGGCTGTAGCGCAGACACATGATCCTGGCTGCTAATGATGCTGATGATGTTGTTCTGGAGCTGTCGGACCGCAAGGGGTTGACCAGTAGCAGCATCAGGAGGAGCTGAAGACAACGAGACCGAAAGGGGGGGTGAAACAGACATCGTCCAATATGTCTTCTTCCATCGGTATAATAGTCAAGGAGAAATTCGGCAACATAGGATTATCTACCCAATAGTTGGGTGATGCAGGAATTCAACAGTAAACGTGGTTAATTTATTCCCGCAGCCAACCTTCAGTAGCTGGGCTCGGAAGCTACTGGTTTAGCGTTGCCATTCCAGGCCATAGAGCAACATCCGTAGCAGAGTGAAGGAAATATCAGCTAACCGGGCCAAGTCAGGGTTTGCAAAGGTGAGATCCAAACCGGAAGAACGTGGGCTAATAGCGGGTAACAGGTGGCTTCCCTGCACAACTAGGATCCTGCAGCGTACAACGATGAACCGAGGAGAGCTGGGGACCTTCCGGGAAATATTAAATGTAATGTGAATAGTCCGTTGATGTGCTCCGTATTTTTGTTGGTGGTTAGACCCTGGCGGAGGGTGGCTGAAAATGTTCTTAGGCGGCACGGATTAACTGTTGTCCCGGTGGCTGTTCCATCCCATATAGAGTTTAGCTGTTCCTCTCAATCATCCAATTACAAGGATTAGTTAGTTAGCTAACCAACCCAGTTGTAAGTTACGGTAGTTAATCTGAGAGCAGCTGAAATGATGAAATACTAGTAACTACTAATTAATTATGCATTTCACCACTGACTGAGACATAGTTACCACATTCTGAGCCACTTACTCACGTCATATCGTCTAGTAGGCATAGATTAAAATAATGCAGCTTCAATCTTTATACATTTATATCTTAATATATATTCCTGCAATTATGAGTAGTATTGTCTTAACTGCTTCAACTATATAATAAATGAAAATACTTCAATTCTTTGAAATTTAAAAAGATAACTCGTTTATCCCATATCAATTGGGAAAAAGATGTCTTAAAAAATATCTCAATTTTTAATTACAATTGAAAACCTTTTTAAAGTAAAACATGTAGACATAAATGTGAGAGTTTATAAATACATATACCAAAAACTATGCTTTTGGCCTGATATATTTTCTATTGATGGTTTCATTCTTGAGCTTTAATTTAGTATTTATCGCACATTTTATTGAAGCTTCTGTTCTCTTACTCTAAGAATTTAGCTTTTACTTTTTATTTCTTTATTTCAAATCTGAAATTCTTTATCTTTACACTTTTGCTTTTTCTTTCTTTCTATCCCTTTCTTAATGATTTTAACTTTGTAAATAATATATTTATAAAATAATTATTTTTTACTGTACACTTACTGTACTTTTCGGATCATTTTTCTTTTTCTCATTTGAAGATAAATATATTTCTAGATCTGCGAATATATAGCAGTATATTAATAGTCCTTAGTTTTATCCAAGATTTTAATATGTTTGTAATATAAATAATCTTTAAGTAATAACTGATTTTTTCTGGTCTTGATAGTACAAGTCAGTAAAAAATCTATGGAAGACACTGGCTGAAAGGCTTCAAATCAGCACACTGACAAATTATTTATAGAAGACATCAACTTTCAAAGAAAAAGAATATCAATCATTTCGAATAATTCAGATTTTTAAAATGATGAATTATGCAGAAAAACCTTTCTCAGAGAACTCCCTTTAAAATGTCTGCTTAATCTCTGCTTTATCCACAGTAACAGCACGAATAATCAAGATCTTCACCCTTTCATTTTGCTCCGAGTACAACGTTGATCTGGGTCTGACAAAAAGATCGCCAATGGAACCCACCTTTGCCCGCTCAAATGTTACCAGAATTTCCTCAGACAAGCCACGCCAAAATCCGCCATCTGCCTCTCGGGATTAGGAATGTTCCGACGAGATAACAGAGATAGTCTTTCAAGGAGAAAAACTCTAGGAACTTTACATGGAGCTAGATTAAATACATATATTGATTAGCAATGACGTCCTCTTTCCACGGGAACCTTTGCAACCAGAGCGAACAGGGTCATTGACGATGCTCCTCTTGACTGAAGTTGACAAACTCTCAAGATAGGATGTGAATGATATCTAGCAGTTCAAGTCATACACAGGTCGCCCAGCATTGTAGTGTTGATAGTTTTGGATAATCATTCAATTCTAGAAGACGTTGGAGTATACAATTTGATGCTTATTCAAATATAGATGTGCGTTAGACGTTCATAACCTGGCAAAGAGTGGATATGTTATTGACTGTCTATCTCTATATCCATATTCACTGGGGAGGTTTGACCCTGAGCTACGTAAAGAGCCACATGCAAATCCACCAGGTACGGCGCGGGTCGAAATAGACAAATCAATCATAGCATCTTTTAACTCTTTCCTTGATCGTAAAATTTCTTAAACAATGCCGCCATACACTACCGCTGAGTCACGGGCCATTTCAATCCTGAAAGTTACAAGAAGGGATATCTTGCAGCTGAATATCTTGCATGAAAATCTTCCGCCGAGAAGGAAAGAGGGGGCTAGCGATATCACTTCATGTCGTGCTCTAACGCATTTAACTCATCAAGCAGTTGGACTGTCTCACCGGGGTTAGAAACCCAAGAGGTGGTGCATGCGAGTCGGGCCTAATGAGATTAAGATATCGATAAGCGTAAGATTGGTTAGCAATTGTGTTTACAGAACATTAGTAAACAAGAAGACCCAAACTAAACAACTACAGAGGCAAGAAAAGAATACAAGACGTTATCATACCTTGAAATCATTAGATCCAGCCGAAAGGAACTGGTCGCCGATATGTAGGGTTTTGGACCGAGCTATTCCTCCAAAGTAACGCTGGCAAGCGAGCACGCCCCAGGATTTATCCCCAATGTCAATGAATACGTCGTTTCCTCCTAGCGATACTTGTTAGTATGCTATGGGCAATATTTGTGGGTTGGCATGGTGTTAATATCGAATAAAGAAGCCTTGGGGTTCATTGGCGTACCATTGAATGCACAGAACGGGAGTCGACGGCCGACTGCTGACAGCTCGACTGTTTGTTGTGCTACCAAAACCGTTTCTTCAAGCTGCTCCCGATGTAGGCGTTTTCCCTGAATGGGAGATATACCAACCGCGCGAGGTTTGCGGATAATGGTGGCGGGAAGATTTAGGTTTGTCATGCAATCGCGGAGTGCGGTTTCAGCAATATCAAGAAGCTCTTTGATATCCTCTTCTGACCACAGCTTCATTTCATCCAGAAGCCACTCACTACGTTCAACTGGAAAGAGTAAATGAGGAGAAGAGTGGTCAAATTTAAATAGAAAATTGCTTTCGCCACCCATGACAATAAGGCTATTTTTCTGATCCTCAGTTAAGTCTGGGGAATCGTTAACAATGTCTAGTAGACCATGGAGACGCTCGTAGTACCTGGGTGCCTCCGTGTAGCCGGCTGCAGTCACAATGCCGATCTTTTTGCCATGGCGCAAGAGGCGGACTATCCTTGGAATTACAGGGTTGTCTACAGTCAACGATGCTCCATCGTCGTAGAGAGTCACGTCGCCATCAAAAGTGATAAGTTCAACCTTGCCGTCGTGAAGAAGCCCCATGATCTGCGCCGTATTGAGGATGATCCGTATATCATTGAAAGACGGGGGCACAAATCGGCGGCGACTAATAAATCGCTTCTTGTCCTGATACTTAAAGGCATCGGCTAACAGCAGCGGAGTAAAGAAATTCCCAATGCTAGGAACTAGAAGCTTCAACTTCGAACGGTGGCTTGTGCCATTTTTCTGATGGTTTCCTATGTCGAGGGTTAGTCAACTTCATAATCCTATTTCAAATAAACACTCGAGAGAAGACAGTAATGGAGAGATGTGGTGTTGTAGTACTGTGGTCATCTATGAGGCTTTCGACGTCACGCATGATATCTACATATCTTTCATGAGTTTTCGCGGCAAGAAGTGCAAGACTGGGGCTGTTCTCTTGGTACAGAGCGGTCGGCTGCGAATTCAGAACGAATGGCACCGCGAGGAGACCCTTCATCTGGAATTAGTTACTGTTCTATTATGAAGGCAGAGTTTGCGTGTTCCTCTCCCCGAGCTGCATTTCCATAGTGGGAAAAATTGACATTCAAAGGTGGCCATACCTTCATCCATTCAATCTAATCAATTTCAGTGTCAGTTATGCTAACATGGCTTGCTTTTACAAGCATGATGTGCGACTCACCAGCTGATCCCTGCGGTGAGACTATCATCCAGAAGAGCCCAAAATTAGCGGTCACATCCATGGGTAGAGATAGGTTCTCCTCTAATTCTATGAGACATCTTAGGTTGTTCAAAGGGCGGGGAAATGCTCAGTACAGACCTTAAGAGCATCTGTAGATCTGAAGTTAGTCATGTTAAGGCTTAAAAAGATCATAAAATATGAGTGGTGTTGCCTACATTCAACCCGGTACCGAGTCGTCATGATGATGGTTTGGCGATACTTCCAAGTTGTAATATAAAGAAGCCGAGTACAACGAACTGGAGGAATACATCCACGAGGCAGCCCGATATTTCAGAATCACAAAGTCCGGCAACGTCCGCGGTTTCTGATTCTGATAGTTGTTTGTGAAACAAACAACGTGGACAGTGGCTGACCTTTCCCTCACCCTTGCGGCGATGACTTTCAGACAAGATAGAGCAAATGGATCAAGGTTCCCTTATGATCAAATCAACCTTCGGAGGCCGTTAGATTACGCGTTCTGCAACGAGCACCTTAGAAGGCATTAAATGCTGAATATTCCATAGGACAAGAATATGCAGCTTTATCAACAGATTGGGGAACTGAAGATCGAGGATAGCTGTGGAAAGGACAGCGGTGTGCCAGGAGCTTTGTCCGTGGTTTAGCGCTGCTGCTATCGATGCGATGTTCAGATGTTAAACTTGGCACCAAACGGAAAGAGGTAAAAAAAAGCCTATGATTGGTATCCAGATGGTGTTGTAAGATGACAGATGGTTGACCGAGATGAACCTTGGAAGAGTTGGTTAAACTTGGCAAAAAACTAAGTCTTAATCGGCGTCTATGATTGGTATCGAGATGGTGTTCGTAGAATGACAGATGGAGACCAAGATGAGCAGTAAGTTCGGGCTGGCAACTATTAGTTAGGGCAGGAATTCGGACAAATCACAACTAGCTGAAAGCCGAGAAACTCAGTTGCCCGAATATCGTCACCCGAACCAAACAACAATTCGAGAGACACTGTATTGGCACTCAAAGGGAGTGAGTGAGTGGGATGAAAATAATGGTAGTGGGTAATTTGGTATCCTGGAGAATTATCTTGTGTGACTCTGCACTTTAGAATATAACTGAATTAAAGAACCGTCAGCTGGAAACCTGGCGGTAGAGTGGAAACAAAGGCGACATCATCGACGAGATGATCGATTATATATACATTTTACATTTCGTGTTACAGAATTACCAAATTGGGACATACTTCATACATGATTGACTCCATCTACCTGCATCTCGCCTGTTTGTTTTGTCATTTAGATTGGGCTCTAGTTCAAAATATAGCAGAATCCACCAATTACCTCAATATATCTTACACTCACAATTCTTCCTTGATCTCTTCCCTACTCATAACCCTTAAAACGTCCCGTAACATCTTTTCACCACCCTGCAGGTCGAAACCCCCGGCGTCATTTGCATCAACACGCCACGAATGGGCAATCAACTCTTTAGGAGGCCCTTTCAACTTTGCAGTGACATCCACCGCTCCACCAAACAAGGCATAGTCAGAATCAGTATCCGGTCCGTCCAACCAGTGACACCGCACATCTAACCTGTTTGGATGTAGGTCAATTGTGAGTTTCTTGCTGCGGCGCTTAGAGGGGGAGTAGGCGGCTAACTCGCCGTTTTCGGGGAATATAGGTTCCCATGGCGTTAGATAGGATTCAGGGAGTGGAGTTGGGGGGTTGAAATCGTCTTTGCTGTCCTTTTGTGGTTGAGAAGGGTTAATTGGTTGTGTCATTGTTGATGGAAATGATTCCGAGGTACCAGCTAGGTGTGGGATGAGGAAGACAAGGTCTATGGTGAAGAGATGGAGGATGATTTGCTGGAGATCGCTGCGGAGGCCCGTGCGGGATGATTTGGAGTTAGACCTAGGACCAGAGGTGAGGTTGGTGGCTATTTCGAATTCGGTACCTAGGGCGTTGGCGTTGGTGCTGGTTGTGATACGGATCTTGAAGCTGGAAGCTGGAGAGAGAAACGCGCCGGTTATGATAGACTCTAAGGGCGAAAGGAAAGAATCCACCAGTCTCTCGACGAAGGGTGGATTGTCTGATTCAAAGGCTGCATCGCTGGAGATCGGAGGGAGTTGTACTGATACTAGAGGAGCGGCATCATATTTGCATTTCAGCCCAGCAAGTTGTAATGTCTTAGTCGTAGAGTCAAGGAAAGATTTTAGCCACCGCAGGGCTGATTTGTGCTGTAGATAACACACAGTTGGCTTAAGGAGTGAGTATTCTGGGTCTGGGCGACGCTTTTCTGTGACTGGTGGTGGAATCTGGGTCCTCCGTCGGTATTTCAGTCGATGAGCATGGGAAAGTAGAAGCCGGAGAGACTGGGCCACAGTCTCAGCAAGAGCATCCTCAACGTGTTCTTGCTGGTCCAAATCTAAGATATCGTCTTCGAGACCGACCATGTCAATGAGGATTTGTTGGCTCTCATTGGCTTGAAACTGTATCAGATTTTGTTTACTTTCAACCCCGTGTTGCAAGAGGGTTCGAGCTTCTCTATTGATTTCATGGAACAGCTCTTCTTCATATAAGGCGTCTCTAGCCAAACGAATACGACATTCAATCGGGTCGTCCGATGACAATGCTAGGCGAATCAATTTCGAGGCTCCTACAATTTGGTTATCCTGTTGCACCCTGACACGTAGCGAACGAGGTTTAGATGTTTGTAATCCCCGGTCCAACGTAAGTTGCCCTCCATCACCTCGCCTAAGGGCCGCAAGGCCACGGTCACGGAACGAAGGAGTGGCTTGAGACTTCTATTAGCTAGCTGAATTAAATCACAAGTCAACTTTGAAGGGGGGGAAAAACCAACCTTCCAAGAACCCAAACTGCACACCTAGCGTTTGTCGTTCTCGAGGAAGTCTGCAAACTTTCCAGCCCTTCTCCTTGATATCTAAAATCCCAGCCCAGTACTTCGTCTCCGCCGCAACCTCTTCTTCCAATCGGGTGGCAGACTGCAGAAGTTTACTAGCAGCAGCATCAAAGCTTTCTAGCTTCCACCCTCGTGACAGATTGTCAATTTCCTTCTGCGCAGCTGCGGTCTTCTCTGGGACTTTCACGACATCTGTTTCCAACGATCCTAGTGGGGCACTTTGTTTTAGGTAGGGTGACATGGAAATCTCAGCTTGGCGCGGGGTGTATTTTGAGAGCAGCAGTGATACAAAATCGAGGGCATAGTTAGCTTCAGCATGAGCCTGCCTATTTTCTATCCCAGTCAGTCTGAGGATAATCTCTATTTTGGGACAACGTTATTTTATCAGGAAATCGCACATTGCAAAGTCCACAATCTGCGCACGGCTTTTAAAAACATGCTCGAGCCGATCAGTTGGCTTGGCTTCCTGCGATTCAACCCGGTCCAGTTCCTGTCCAGTCTCCTCTGCGGCGCGTCGAGCTTCGATCTCCTCTTGAAGGCTTTGCTCCGTCACGTTGCGAAACGAGCCGCGCTGGGCATTGATCTGGGCTATTCGGATGGGTAGCGAATCTGATTCGTCTAGTGGCTTCTGGCTCAAGGGGCGCAGCGGGAGGGTGAAGGATTCCGCCATAACGGCAGTAAGATGCGAGATCGTTGAATGGTAGTGCTATGGCTGGATATCGAGGATAACTCAAGAGAGCTCTGTTTTTAGCCTCTAGGATATTGTGGGGGGAACATTGCGAGGTGTGTTAGGACGCAACATAAGAAGGGATATGTGTAACCCAGTAAGACTCGGGCGAAAATGAATCGCTTCAGTTGGTGTGTATCCAATCTTCATGTGCCCCGTATACCGGGTGTGTATAGCTATATATGTTTGGGTGTTGCTACAACTAATATATATATATATATAATTTGCTCTGATACATCCGGAGTTGAGTTTATCCGAGGCCACTTTTCCCCATCGGCACGGGCCCTATGGCAACTTGGCACCCTAGCCAAAACTAGCCAACTATATCTGCGCCGCCCTCACCCGATCCTTTTGGTTACCTAATCAATAGCACGAGCCAAACGGACAGACTAAACCCCTCATCTCACCGCTGCGAGCTTCGTTGCTGATCCACCTGCTCAACTGCTTATGATTATGCTGTCAGAGCTACAATTGTCTGCGGTCTTTGTGTGTGTCTCATACTGTTTCCCGTTTACTAGATTATCTAGATTTTCTGATGTTTGTTTTTTCTTTGTTTCCTTTTGGTCCTTTCAGTTGCGTAGCTGCATCTAACCATCACCGGAATACCTCTCACTTCAACTCCCACCATAATCCTTAATACTGTCCATTGTGTACCCAATATCAGTTCTACAGCTTAAAATTTACCGAAAGACTTGATACTGATAGCCATTTATTCAATCAGCAATCACAATGGCAAATGTCACGAACATTTCTCCGGTGAGCCAGTCCAAACGCCGTCGTGTTGCCGTGTTAACAAGCGGTGGCGACGCCCCGGGTATGAACGGTGTGGTTCGCGCCGTTATCCGTATGTCAATCCATTGCGGTTGTGAGGCCTATGCTGTCCATGAAGGATATGAGGGTCTAGTACGAGGTGGGGACCTGATAAGGCGGATGCATTGGGAAGATGTGCGTGGCTGGCTTTCGCGGGGTGGTACTCTGATCGGCTCTGCGAGATGCAAATCATTCATGGAGCGGGATGGCCGCCTGCAGGCTGCCAAGAACATGGTGGTGCGTGGGATTGATGCTTTGGTTGTATGCGGTGGCGATGGGAGTCTTACAGGGGCTGACATCTTCCGCTCGGAATGGCCTGGGTTGCTGGACGAATTAGTGAAAAGGGGAGACTTAACGGATGAGCAGGTGTTGCTATTTAAAACACTGAATATAGTGGGTATTGTTGGGTCCATTGATAATGATATGTCGACAACTGATGCGACTGTTGGTTGTTACACGTCTCTCCATCGTATATGTGAGGCTGTTGATGAGGTCTTCGATACGGCGGCTTCCCACCAACGTGGCTTCGTAATTGAAGTTATGGGACGGAATTGTGGCTGGCTGGCATTGATGTCTGCCATTAGTACAGGAGCAGACTGGTTATTCATTCCAGAAAGGCCACCACGAGATGGCTGGGAAGACGACATGTGTGACATCATCACTCAGGTACTAGAAACTGGCATTTCTTGCAATTGAATGAACGATAGCTAACAGAACTCGACTGGTGGTAGAACCGAAAACGAGGCAAACGCAGGACAATTGTTATCGTGGCCGAGGGCGCGCAAGATGCCAACCTAAATAAGATATCTTCCTCATCTGTTAAAGATGTTCTGAGCAACAGGCTAAAACTTGATACGCGCGTCACCGTTCTGGGCCACACCCAGCGAGGAGGGACAGCGTGTGCTTATGATCGGTGGCTAGGCACCTTACAGGGGATAGAAGCTGTCAAGGCGGTATTGGAGGCCAAGCCTGGCGACCCCTCGCCTCTGATCACACTCAGGGAGAATAAAATCGAACGCTCGTCTCTTGTCGAAGCCGTTCGGGTCACCAAAACCGTCGGCCAGGCTCTCAAAGACAAGGATTTCGCCACGGCCCTGTCAATGCGAGATGCAGAATTCAAAGCCTATCATAGAGCGTACATCAACACCGCGACCCCTCATCATCCAAAGATGCAACTTCCTGAAAACATGGTGAGTTTAGCTTCCTACCTATATACTTTACTTCTTTATAATTACTTACACCAAAACCTCCCTTTTCAGCGTATGCGAATTGCAATTATCCATGTTGGAGCACCAGCTGGTGGCATGAACCCCGCGACACGGGCAGCTGTAGCCTATTGTTTAGCCAGAGGACACACCCCAATTGCCATTTACAACGGATTCCCTGGGTTATGCCGACACCATGCAGATACACCAATAGGCTCAGTTCGGGAAGTTAAATGGCTGGAGTCCGACTCGTGGGTGAACGAAGGCGGCTCTGAAATTGGCACAAATCGCGGTCTACCATCCGCGGACATGGCCAAGACAGCTGAATGCTTTGAGTTGCATAAATTCGATGCACTCTTCGTCATTGGTGGCTTCGAGGCATTCACAGCCGTTAGCCAGCTGCGCAAGGCCCGCGAGCAGTACCCAGCTTTTAAAATCCCTCTCGTCATCCTCCCCGCCACGATCTCCAATAACGTCCCAGGCACTGAATACTCACTAGGCAGCGATACCTGTCTGAACACCCTCGTTAACTTCTGCGATGTAATCCGGCAGTCAGCCTCCTCCTCACGCCGCCGTGTCTTCGTCATAGAAACCCAGGGCGGCCGCTCCGGCTACATTGCCACCATGGCTGGATTTGCCGTGGGCGCCTACGCAGTCTACATCCCAGAGGAAGGAATCGACATTAAAATGCTAGCCCGCGATATAGAATATCTACGGCATAACTTCGCCACAGACCGCGGCGCCAGCCACGCGGGCAAGATCATCCTACGCAATGAAACTGTATCGAAAACATATACGACCCAAGTGGTGGCAGATATGATCAAGGAGGAAGCAAAGGGCCGCTTTGAATCCCGCGCCGCGGTGCCGGGCCACTTCCAGCAGGGCGGGAAGCCGTCGCCCATGGACCGGGTGCGCGCGTTGCGCATGGCGATTAAATGCGTGCAGCACATAGAGCAGTTCCAGGGCCGGAGCAAGGACGAGATTGCAGCCGATCCGATGTCCAGTGTCGTTATTGGGATCAAAGGGAGCGAGGTGGTTTTTGGGCCGATGTCGGGCGAGAGGGGATTGGAGGAGACGGATACAGATTGGGAACGCCGTCGGCCGAAGAATGACTTTTGGTTGAAGTTGAAATCATTGGTTGATACGCTTAGTGGGAGGCCTGGGGAGGATCATGATGGGGTGCTGCAGATGTCAGAGGAGGAGGGCTGGGGGGCGTATGCGCCGTTGGATGAGTGTCATTTTACGGAGTAGATGAGTACCCTGGTGCCTCCGTATCATTTGCGTATGTAATGTGGTGGTGGTGGTGGTGGTGGCGGCGGGGCGATATAACAACGACGGGAGCGGTGGTTGTTTTTGGCACATTTTTATCTTAGATGTTTGATTTAATCTACATGCTTTCTATGTGCTTCTATATAGGCGTTCCTTTTTCCAGTAAACAGACGGGACGGACGTATCCATCCATATTTTTTGCCGCTGGTCGGTTATGGGATAACAAAGAATAAGTAAGAAAAGAGATAATTAGATAGTCAACCACGGAGTAACTAGCCAGTTAGTTGAGTTAGTTAACTGACTAATTAATTACGCCGTGCTCCCAAGTCACCCCTTGACCCCCTAAATCAATTATTGCATGGGAAGAATTGTACGAGAGATATAATGATGCTGCTCCCTTCGGCCTATGCTATTTACAGGTTTCTTTGGTTCCATGGACAGGCATTTGAAGCCTGAAGTTTAGAAACATATTATCCATGCATAAACTAACTTTCTGGAAATCATCATGTACATCAGTAGAGGAGGCACAGGAGAGAAGGGAGAATTAAATCAATGTAGAATGTTCAAATTTAGATGCTTTGTAAACTAAATCAGCCTTACATAACTAACTAGTTAACTCCGTGGTGAGTTTACAATTTAGGTTATCCAGCAGCAAACTCTTCAAGAGGTCTCCGCTAACCATGGTTTCCAGGAGTCGTCGCAGTACGTACCGTTACTTCTAGCTCCCTTCCCATTCCCATTTTCTCAAACTACGGAACATTAAATAATTAACTAAGTTCAGTAACTAACTAGTTGGTTCACTTACTCCAAGGTTTCTTTTGCCTGATTACCAAACGGCTCATCCACTGAGAGACTCCATCCCATGGGCCATGGCTCCACAATTCTAAAGTGGGTTGGGGGGGGGGGGGGGGGGGGGGGGGGTTGCTGGCCAGCAAAGCCCGGCAATAAACAATGAATCAACTAGAACCGTCCCTATTTGCGCCAACGCCTTGCCGCTTCGCCGCTGCACCGCTCCAGGGGGGGCCCTCAAGCGGCTTTCGCCAACCAAACCGCCGCCCCATGCCTGCAGGAGTCCTGCATGGAACTCGTCACTCCGTACGCTCTGATACTCTCTTCACTAGTGAGGCCCCACCCCCGGTAATATTTCTAGCGGCCTGCTGAACCAAAAATCAGTGCGGGGCACGAAGTTCACATTCCGATGCTCAGAGGGCAGGGCAGGGCAGGGCAGTTAGGAATAACCTAAGAATAGCAGAAAGCGTTCTCTGCTTTAATCTTGTTCGTGTATTATTAATAATTTAGTCTTCTTCTTCGTTTTTTCTTCTTGTTTTTGTGATCGAAGTTAAACTTAATCAAAATTTCAAAAAGGCGTGCCTGATCACGTGGCTAGCTAGGCCGGGTCAGGGGCGAACCTTGGTTGCTGAGGCCCGACACACAGACCTCCCCAACCAAAACCACCAAGAGTAAGTTAATTATCCATGAAGAATGATCAATCTGATTGACCATGGACGATGAACTTAGTGTGTAGACTGCGCCCACCTCCCCCCTCCCCCCTCCCCCCTCCCCCCTCCCCATAGTTTTGATTAGGAGGCCCCGCTAAAATATCAGGTGTGGGGGAAGGGGGGGAACGTGTGAAATACCCAGGGCATAAGCTTTGCACTGCTGCAAGTGACCTGTCAAAAAACGTGTGTGGGTGGCCGATCTTCAGCGATCTTGGCTGGAGCTTGTTTTGGCCAGGAAGCCGGCCAGGAAGCATTACTACGGGGATTGAAGGCGTGTGAACTGCGGGAGCGGGGAAGAGGTTAGAGCAGATGTAGATGTAGATGCAAGAGAACTCACAAGTTTTATGCTCTGCAAGTGATCTCATCATTGGGAAGATGTTCCGAATGGGTATGCCGCTGGTTGCTCTGGTTTGATAGTTTGATACGTGTTCGAGAGAAAACTGTGTGGTCTTTTCCATGGGCTGTGCAAACTCTCGGTGCTAGAACTGGGAACCGAACTAAATGCGCTCATCTTTGTTGCAACCTCATCTCGGGCTGTTGTTCCACTTCAACTGTCTGTTCTAGATAGAGTATTCATTCATCTTTTGTTTTTAACCGTCGGATGGCTGGGATTCTGTTTTCTCGTTTTCTCTCTGCGCCAAGCTTCATAGCTATTCTATAGCGGGCTACCCTCATACTATCCGGAAATCCACTCCCTTTCGTCCGTCGACGTGTTTGGTGCGTCTCTCGACGTCTCTCTATGAGTTGAACTCCTTAAGTCCCGTTAATCCCTCCTACAGCCTTGGCCACTCCCCCTCCTCTTCCTCTTCCAACTGTCGGTCTCGTTTTTCTATAACTCCCCACGGCCTGCAGTTGCCATAGGAGGATGCAATTGCGACCCTCTACCTCCCGCTCTTCTATCACATCATGGGTGTTTACATTCTCGGCTCTCCTCCTGCTAGCAGCACTTCCCATACATGCCATTGAGTTAGATCTGGAAAGCGATGGTATATCTCCTATCTGGAAGGCCCCAAATATCCTCCTAGACCCCTCTCTAATTCGAAAAAAAAAAATAATAATTAATAATAATAATAATAATAATAAAAATAAAAAAAAAATGAAAATAAATGAAAATAAGAAGAAGAAGAAGAGAAAAAATGTCTAACCCATGATCATCGTCATCCAAAATAGAGTCAATAAAATCTGCTGCCAAAACCCTCGCAAGAGGGTGTAAAAGCTACTACACTGGCGACAACCCAGGCGATGTCCCGGGTAACTTGCCCTCTCCTTACTACTGGTGGGAAGCAGGCGCCCTCTTCGGCGCATTCATTGACTACTGGTTCTACACTGGTGATGACACCTACAACGACATAACCATGCAGGCGATGATCCATCAAGCGAGCGAGGACCGTGACTTCATGCCCACCAACCAAACAAAAACGGAGGGGAACGATGACCAGGCCTTCTGGGCTATGTCCGCCATGTCTGCGGCGGAGCGCAACTTCCCCAATCCCTCGTCCGACCAACCGCAGTGGTTAGCACTGGTGCAGGCTGTGTTCAACTTGCAAGTCGCGCGCTGGGACAAGGGGACCTGTGGAGGTGGGTTGAAATGGCAGATCTTCCGGTTTAATAACGGGTTTAACTACAAGAATACGATATCTAATGGATGCTTCTTCAATATGGCGGCGCGGCTGGCGACCTATACGGGCAATGCGACGTACGCAGAGTGGGCGGAAATAGCATGGGACTGGATGGAGAGCGTGGGCTTTGTGACGGAAAATTTTCATTTCTTGGATGGTGCGGATGATACGAAGAATTGCACCCAAATCAATCGCATTCAGTGGACGTACAATGCCGGCGTATGCTTGCTGGGGGCCGCTCATATGTTTCAGTTCGTAAGTTTCTGTTCCCCCTTTCAGCAGAAACCCCCCCCCCCCCCCCCCCCCCTGGGGTGGGATCGTGTCCGGTAAATATCACTGACGGAAAAGACAAGACCAACAACAGCGACAAGTGGAAAAAGCGCGTTCAGGGCATAAAAAACGGGTTGGATGTCTTCTTCTTCAAAGAAACAAACATCATGTTCGAAGTCCCCTGGGAACCGAACGGCAAATGGGAAAAAGACCAACGCTCCTTCAAAGCCTACTTAGCACGGTGGATGGCCGCAACAACACAGGTAGCCCCCTTCACAGCGGAGCAGTTGATGCCAAAGTTGCAAGCATCCGCCCTGGCAGCTGCAAAAGTCTGCACAGGGAGCACGGTGGGGCAACAGTGCCCGCTCAAATGGACCACGGAAACATTCGAAGGCGAAACGGGCCTGGGAGAGCAGATGGCTGCGCTGGAGGTTATACAATCGAACTTAATATCGAAGACCCCGCCACCGCTGACCAATCTGACGGGCGGAACAAGCCCAGGGGATCCCAATGCTGGCTTGCAGAGGGGCCATCAGACTCCGGATATCGCGACAAGGAAGATTACGGCGGGGGATCGCGCTGGTGCGGTGATTCTGACGGTGCTTCTCATTCTCGTTTTGTTGGTGTCCCCCTATTGGCTGCTTTGCGTGTAGCTACGTGCGGGATACAAAAGTCAAGGACGATATTTTGCGGAGTCTGACAAACCTCTATATGTGTAATGGCAAATTCAAACACGACGAAGAAAACCTGAAAAATGGGTGGGTGAATTGGGCATAAGAGATTATGATTTGTAGATATTAAAAAAAAAAAAAAAAAAGAAAAAAAATGTACATTCTGGCCACTGCGGAGGTTTAGAGGAGGATTTCATATGCATGGAGTATCTTTAAAAAAAAAAATGAGGGCATTGGGCATGGCGTTTGCGGGAGGAGGTGGATGCATATTTTTGCATATATATATATATATATATATATATATACATCACGTTAATATTTCATCCACTCTTTATATCCAAATGCATGCATGAATCACTTTTAGCTGATGCCTTTCCATCTAGTACATTACCTTGCTTTTCCCGGATTCGCAACGTCCATGTGCTTTTGAGGTTCTGTAAGTTTAAGGTATGATGCAACAGTTCTCTGGGCTATTTTGCTTAGTGAGCAGCTTACGCGATCAGGAGAATCGACTGGTTTAACTTCGATATTTACATTTCGAATAGGGGTAAAGGGAGAACATGATTTTCAATACAAGAGAAGAGGGGCTGCAGGGCGATGTGGGGGGCCTGGTTAAGATATCTGACATAGCTAACCGTTATGTTGAATAGAAGAGGAATCTAGAAATAGCCCTCCAAGGGAAATTAAATGTATTGACCTCATGCGGAAGTTCGTGTGACTTGGGAAAGGGAGTCAGGGGTAAAGGGTGATTGAAGGGAATGGGTAAAGAGTAGACCCTAGGATAACAATAGATAAAAAAGAATGCAGGCTGCCAATTCTATGTTGTATTCTTTTCAATGTGTCTCTGATATAAGGAAAAGGAGGGGCGAGCATCCTCATTCGGAGTGAGAATTGTGGATCGTAGGCGTGGACTCTTAGGATAGAACTATCAGAAGGTGCATTGCATGAATTTCGGAGGATATTGGTACAGCTAACAAGTGTGAGCTACGAAGGGATTTCGAAAAAACTCTGAAATGGCAAATTGAGATACCACAAATTATCCGGGACTAAGATACGCAACATACATATATATTACATAGGGAATCGAAATGAAAATGTGCTGGTAGCGTGCAGGGGGAGTGTCATGGGGCATTGGGGTGGTAAAGAATTCATTAATTATCATGCCAGATGCGATGGCAAGGAAAGGCGGGCTGAGAGCAACAGGGCGGGTAACTAATGAATAAGGGGAGATAATGCAGAGATACATATATAACAACGGACCACTTCCCGCAGAGTTGGGAAGCACAGGAGACAACAAACCCAACGGTCAACGCTCTTTTCTCGATATTTTCACTCCTTATTTCGTTTTCAATATTTGTCCATCATCTTCTGCTATTATACATATATAATTTTCTTATTGCTTGTTTTCTTCTTCTTGCCATTCACCGCAGATGTGTATGTGACTGGCCAATTGGTCATTGATTCGGGATGTTTTAAAACCCAATTTGGTCTCATAATCAGGTATTAGTTTATTCCTCTCCCTCACATCCCCCACATAACGCTGTTCTCATCCTTTCTCAGCAACGACAGTGAGCACATAGAGTATAGCCTGTTCAGAACGAATGTCAAATATTTTCTCCGGTACCGACACCAAAATTACACAGTCGCTTCTCCTTCCGCAGACTGACTCGGGACCTCTCTCTTTTCATTGTGGACCGCGGGGCGGTTACGGCCCTGATGATACGACCAGAGATTATAAATTTCCAGCATGGCCGCGGATAGGCAAGCGAAGCTACATTTGGTCAAGTTAGTATCTGAATTTTATTATTTTGTTTTACACCAGCATGCTTTTAAATAGGCAAATCCCGCTTGGATAATGAACCTCTGGGACTGGGGTAACAAGGTAACCAGAAATATAACGCATTTCATTGCAACGATGGATGGAGTGGTATCTTACAAAGCAAGGAACGTAAATGCCTCGTTGGCGTGTTTGGTTGAGCAACGTGCTCCTGGAGGGCCGAATAAGAGGCATGGATTTTCGTTGTAGTCTTGAGCCGTGAAGATGAAGGAGGTTAACCATCTATACATTTATTATTTAGCATATGCCTTTTGAATACATGTTTCGTTGGGATTGTCAATGCGATTGTCAGACGTTAAAGGGAGGGTTTAGCTCCCACGTGACGCGAGAGATGCGAAACGAAATGGCATCTACGTACAGATAGGAGAATATAATGTCGACGGGAAAGGCGACTCCTCCGACTTGAGGGAAGAACGGTGACACCAATCCCGGGATGAAGAAGACAACGGATAATACAGCCTGCTTTAGTGTCAGTGTGAATTTGAACTCGTGTTGGGATTTTGAATGGAGCTTCCGAGAATGCAAGTAAAGAATGGAAGCAATAAAAAGTAGCAACCGTACAATAACTTCCTCATACTTCGTATGCAGGCCTCTAGGAAACCTACGAAGGAAATATGATACAATGCCCATGACAATAACAGCGCTGGTCCATTGTATGACGCGGATAAAGAACAGAAGGCCCCGCAAGACAGTGTTAACCTTGTCCATGGCAGCTCAGCTTGGCGCAGCGTCTCGTATCTGAACGACAAGAAATGAAAATGTAAATGAAAAGAAGCCCTCTTATCCTGATAAAAGAATATAAATATATGCTGAAAGGGGTATCTCTGAGTAGATAAAATGGAAGAGAAGAAGGGATCAACTATAGCTGACATTTGGTTTTGGGAGGCGACATGCCTTTTATAACTACGAAAGCTCTCCAGCATTGCAGAAATATATGCCTGCTTGCCTCCTTACGCCATCCAAAGCATCTTCAAGGTAGTTAGGGAGGTGTCAGAGCACATGATCGATAACAGCATTGTCCTGCAATCACGCCGCCCATAACGTCATAAGAGCCCACGTTCGTTGGAAGTATGAGAGGAGGATTCCCATTGGCCGGGATAGGGTGTGGTGGTGTTGAACACAAGCTCGATGAAGTACCCGGTTATGATGGAGAGTCTAAATACTTGAATTGAGGGGTAAGGCTGCGAAGGTAAAAACGGGGTGTATAAAGGCGTTGTCATTCGATAAAATTGGCGAAAGTTTGACGATTTTGAATAACTTTAGATGCCCAGATCGTATCCACAACTTCCTAAGGGTAAACCCAATGAAGGAAATAGAAGGTCCACTATCAGTTATCATCTGACTCCCTGGCACTTTGCAGAGAGACTTATTCAAAAACAATTCCGTGGACCTGAATGAATATCTGGCATCCTAGTCTTCCTGAGGATTGTCACGGTGTTTAATCCGAGGAATTATCGTCATCGTTGGGACGGGCCGTCAAGCAACGTAGAGATCGCAGGTTGCCTCCGCTGGCGGATATTCTATCTGAGGAGTTCTTAGAGCAAACCTGCCATTGGGGCGATTCGAAACTAATTTCCCGAACAGCATTGATATTTGTCATGCTATGAACAGGGGTTTGCAGAAATCCGCAGAGAGCGCCAACTTAGGTATCTTCCTCGAGCATGGCAACCCGGCTAGGTAATTGCTTGTTGTCGGCATTTGGAATGATGTAATGCTTGTTGTTGGTTAGGTGGTGGTTACGTTGTTTGGGGGAGGATTTTTGCCCCAGGAAAGACTTCGCAAATAGCTGGGCGATTAGTCAGAACCTTGAATCAACACGAATTATTCCTGCCCACGCTGAAGCTATATGCGTACCTACTATTAGGTAGTTATGCTGTATCATGGGGAGTTTGTTTAACAACTCTGCTTTTGCAGCTATTTATCTTCATTCTGCCACCTCATCGTTCTGGGTTCATCATCCATGGTTTCTCTCACACCCCGTGTCTTCTCGCTCTCTTCTATTTTGACTCTCGCTCTCCGTTTCACATTGGACAGTGGGGCTGCAGCTAACCGGTTGAAATCTATATCATTGTTCCACTTTTCCTCTTCCCGACGTAATTCCACGAATCCCGACAGCACATTGATTGAATTGGGATACCCCTTCATGCTTGTCTGAACCGTGATTTTTGGGATCTTGATTAATATTTACCCCCAAATATTAATCAAGGCCCCTACGCCATCGACAAGCTCTGAAAGTGGATTTGCCGCCCAGGATTGTGGTAGCAGTTAAGTAGCACCCATTGCCCGCGCACTACAACACCTTTAACCCATGGACCCTTCCGCTCCTCTCTTCGATGGAAGAGAACTCGGGGCTAAGGCACGTAATCCACCACCTCCCGGTCCGCTTCTTCGCCACGCGACGCGTTCATTAACCTCTTTTGTCAACATGTCAACAGCAATAGGCAATCAAGCCTCTTATAAGGAAGGTAGAATTCCATTAACTAGCTATTAGAGCTTTAGAAAAAGTTCAAATTTCAAGTATTCAAGCTGTTGCATATACATATGACAACTACCTCTTACTCAAGCTAAGTTAATTGACTGTATGATTGTGCAATATAAAGAGATTCTTGGTCAAGAAATTAAAAATCAATTTTCACTAAAAAATCAATTCTTGCTCAGTGAATATTATCTATAAATAAATATGATATAAAAAATTATTGATTTTTATTTTATCATTTTTAGATAAATGTATTATTCTATTCACTATTGATATAATTAATATAATTTTTTATAAAATTATTCTATTAAATTATTGAAATATAATATGTTATATGAATTATAATTTGAAATAAATGTTATTTAAATAATTTTTAATAAATTAGATTAAAAATTATTAAAATATAATATTTTATTTTCATATATTTAAAATGTATTATATTTACTATATTTTTACAATACTTATAACTATATATATTTAATGATTACTGATGGATATATTAAATAATAAACTATTTATTAAACTTAGAATAAAAATTAAAATTTAAAATATGTCTTTAAATTAAAATTTCTTTATATTAAATATATAATTAAATTTTTTATATTTTTACTTCTTTTATTTATTTATAATAAATATATTTCAGTATTATTTTGCACAATAATAATAATAATAATATATCTATAAATTTTAGTAATTTTTGTTGGCTATTAATTTTAATTCACACTAGTAGTTAAAACTTTACAAGTTAAAACTGAAACCTTGACTCCAGGAAACCCTTGGATATGAGCATACTTGAACTTTAGATGGAAATATCCTAGCCTTAACCCAAAGTTTTTTTCAACAAACGTGGCCTGAAGCCTCAGATCTAGTTCCGTTAACGACGTGGCTTTTGCTCTAACTTTGTGTCATTGATAAGCTACCATCTAAGAAGTGATGTACCACTAGTTATATACTAATGCTTTTCTCAACATGATGACGCTAAACATGTGCTGCTTTTGTGAGACTACTGGCAAAAAGATCTGATTGTCAGTAGTCAATACTGGACAATGAATGAGTAACAGCTTTTATCCCCTCTGCATTATTATTAGATACTTTTTCTTTCTCATACATTTTATCACTGACTCTGAATAATAACTTTTTTTATGAACTTGATTTTGAAAGTTTTTTTAAACATATTAAAAATGTTCAAAAAAAATAGATAAAAAGCTTATTCTGAATAAATACTACATAAAAATACTGTGAAATTAATTTAATTAAATTATAGTTAAATAAAAAATACAAAATGTTATAACTATTGTTAATCATATTTAATATTTTTAGAATTGGTAAATCTTATATATATTATATTTAAAAAGAAATTTCCTGATATATTCTATAAAAACATTTTATATTTAAAATTATTGATACTTATTTCTCTTTTTACATGTTTAAAATAAAAACTTTTAAGTTTATGCAAATTGAAAAAACTGAAATTCAATATTATTAAATAAAGTATAATATAAATTAAATGAAAATTTCTTCCATACTTTTAAAGAAAAATGGATCAAAAGATAAATAAGTTTTATAATATTAGTTTTTCTTTATTTTTTACTTTGGTTTATTTTGAGTTATCTAAATGATAAGTTTAATTTTATTTTATTAATTGATTATAAATTAGTAAATTTTAAAGATCTTTTATTTTTCACTATTATTCATATTCAAATACTTTATTCATATTATTAATACTTATGCTACTTATTTACATTTCACATATCGGCGCTCACAAGTCGAAGCTAACGCCTTGCGTGGCAGATATCCAGATGGAGGTCAACTCTCCTTCCTCCAGAGCTCCCAACGCCTCTCGCAGATTTGCGGAAAAAAGTCATATTATCCAGCAGGCAACAGAGTGTACTTCTGTCGCAGAGGCGGTATGTTAGAGTATTCCATTTTAAAACACCTGAAACTGAGCTAGCAAAATGCCCAGTCAATGATGGCAGTAATGTTGCAATCGTCATCGATAAAAAAGTTATTGTTCACGTTTAGGTCAGGGTGGTGTAATGGAAATCTCTTTGCATGGATTTGCACATTGTCTTGTCTGCCCAGACAGCACCGTCACGTTGTGGAGATCGAAAACACCCATTCCACTGCGTATCGAACATCACAAAAAACCACCCAGTACGTACAAGCTGCCTTACGCTGGTGCTTGAGCAGGATCACAAGAGCAGTGTCTTCCCTGGAGCAATGAGCTTGCTAGTTAGCAGAGGGCATCAACTCCATATTTTCGCAACATGGTGTTTTTATTCAGTCCTGACGAAATGTCTGGCGCGAACAGGCGGTCTGCAAAAGGCGCATTCTGATTGTCTGAACACAGTATTTCGGCATTCTGTTGTAATTGCCATGTACAAAGCTGCTGCTCCTGATGATGGAAATCGCGTTCAAACGTTCGTTCGGTGATCCTGCCATCCGGGAGCGGTGGCTAGCTATGCTTCTATACAAGCTATCTAGATCACGTGCAGGTACAGCAGCGGAACAGTTTATATAACTACACCAGAAAAACGGGCGATATCATGTCAATTTCGATTAGGATGGAGCTAAACTCCATGAGGCAATGGGTATAACTATGAGGGAGTTATTTGGAAGCCTCATTGTCCGGAGCCCCTCGCTCAATCCTTCGATTGGCCGGTCAGCGTCCAATCCGCATTTCCATCCAGGCGCCCTCGCATAGGGACATCCACCTCCTATCAATATCCGCCATCAATTTGTTCACTTCAGAATGGGGCTTGGGCGAACTATGCAACCTTGGGATTGTAGATAGTTACTGTCACGTGTTATTGCCCCTGTATGCCAGCGAAGCAAAACATGACAACGACAACCCCGAACAACAGATGAAAATGCCACTTTTGGTTCCCATGGGTATAATCTTCATCTTATTTTAGATCTTCTCTTCCGACTTCAAACGGTTCAGACAATGTCTCTATATGCGTGCGTTCTGTGCGGGGGTCCTTTGGACATTTCACAAACTGAAAACTGGCTTAACGAGTTTCGCAGTATCTATACCAATGGCCATGACTGGTCTAATCCCAATTTATCGGGTGTAGGCTATGTTCAGGAAAATGAGGATAGTGCTCAATTCACTGCACCTCCCGATCAAGAAGACAGATATGACGGCCCTGGCTTCGAAGAAACTAAGATCACCATACTTCCCTCACCCCTCTCTGAAGTAACTCAGGGGTTTCTTCCACCTGATTTTCAGCCTTGGGGGTTTTTCTTTCACCCACCTTGTTGGGAACTTCTATGCGCAGCTGCTTATCCAAACATGGTCGACATCCAGCTGCTCAACGATATGCTGAGATCTTGTCCACAGACCGTGGCAACTTTGAACTGGGGCCATAATTATGGGGGCATTTATGAAACAGAACCTAGCAACTGGATAAACGGTAATGACATTCTCCTGCGTAGGGTTCTTGGATATTATGGATCATCGGACAACCCTAATCCGCGGATTGTTCTGCATCGCCAAAACCCACTTGAAATTCCACAAATCGGTGAGATTATTGAAAAAGGAAGGGTGCAACAATCCTCCAAGTCTCTTGTCAGTTATATAAATGGACTTTCTTCTACCGATGGCCATATTTTTGCCAGACTTCCATATGAACTTCGTGAACTACTGTTGTGTTTACTCCCTTCCCGCGATGTCAGGAATCTTATGCTTGCATCCAGAGCATTTGCTTCAGTTGAGCTCTCTCAAAGCTTTTGGCTATCTCGTTTCCAGGTTGAATATAGCTTTATTTTCGAAGTTAGAAAGGACCTGCTGCCTAGTCCCGGGATTTACCACTGGAAGTTCATCTTTGACAGTATCAAGGCTGCGTCATTCGAAGTACCAGGAATCCAAAATAGACGGAGAATATGGAACTTGCTCTGCCCCCTTGCTGATGCTGTGGTAGCATTGTCCAAGTCTCCCCTCAAAGGGCTTCCAGCTCATACATTCTACAACTCAGATATTCCAGACGACCTTGGTGATTGGAGAAGAGCAGGGGTCGCTGAGTATACCGGTACTAATAACCTGATGTATGGCTGCAGGAAGCTGTATTCTCGCATTGTTTCTGTAAGCGGCAAAATTGTGGGGGCATACGTTTCTTTTATTACAATGACTGGCGCACCCTTTGTCTGCGGGTTTAGGCTCATGCGGTCAGATGGAGAAAGCATTGAACTTGGGCGTATCGTTGGGCAAACTGAAGTCTATCTGAGTGTGAACAGGAGTTTGAGTGATTATGATACGTCGACTTTTTGTGGATTCCATCTGGCCATTGGCGAAAGGGGTGTGCAAGGGTTTGCACTTGCTTCCCCTTCGGGACGTCTTACACCTTGGGCAGGCTCTCATAAAAGATTGCCAAAAAGAATGCTTGTCTCCCATACCCAGGAAATTCGGGCGCTGCGAGGAGGATTTGATGTATGACCTGACTTGTTTCAAAACTATTCTGCATTTACTGACGTCTCCAAGGGTTTCAAACTAATATCACTCGAAATCCCAAGTGGTCCCGAACCACGTGCTGCACTTCGAGATGTATTCCCCTGGCTTCCAGATATACCCCAGAGCAATCTGAATTTACATGAAAATTCATTTCCTGGCCAAACCGCTAAAAAATTGCATACAGAAAGGCCTATTACATTGTTGCACTTTGGAGGTTCAGGGGGTGTTAACCTTGACAAGATCACGTCTCTATCTGTCTGGGATATCCACGCCGCACTGACGGGGATTGAGATACAGTATGACGGCCCGGTGGATGGAGCCACCACTCATTGTATGGGGCATTGTGGCACCTACAATGCCACAATAAGTCCATTGATATCCCCAGAGACTAAGGTCACAGAAAAGAAGACAATTTTCATGATCGACAGCGCAGGCGGCGAGCGGATTGTCAGAGTTGAGTTTGGCGATATTAAGGGGAGGGCCAATGGAACAGAGCTTTGGTTTCTTGTACGTAATTTGCGTCATTTGAATAGTTGGTCCCCATATGCTCACTTGTCACAATCAATCCAGGTTCAAACGAATCGCGGCAGGTCAATGTCCTTTCCGAGAGATAAGCCTGTCCCTGACAACCGGGCAATGATTTCTGGGGATGATTCGAGGACTATTACTGGCTTTTATTCAGTTGAGTTTGACCTTTCTGTTACCTACCACCCGTTCCCTTTCATCATCCCACTTTCCATTTGACATTTCATGCGAATGAAAGGCAAATTTGTTCGCAAGCTGATTACATTCTCTTTCGTTATCCATGTTAGATGATTTGCCAAAGAATGTTCGGCCTGGGTGTTGTTACTGAAGTCTGCTCACAAGCTGGACCCAAAAGATAGCCTTTCGTTTGTTTGATTTCTAGATAGGATCCATTGTACTGGATGACCCTCACTGGCTACCGTAACATGCGAAACTCGCGTAAACTCGGGGCTGAGCCGTGAACAAATGGGGAGTTTTTGCTCACTTGGACGCTCCCGGAAGGGTTGCTTGCATGCCTTGTCTTTTCATCGTACAGTACTCCTCAACATGTTTAGGTTTTGGCTACATATCATGACTACGTCCTGAAAAATTTATTATTCAGAAGACGAACATGAAATGACAGCGGGAAGGGATAATTTCTTTACTTTCCATTTCGCTTGTCTTGATATGATTAAGCTCAAGCTCTCCCGGTTATTTTCGTATTTGCAAGACCTCTTTCAATTTTAAAGATCCAAAAGCCCAAAAGACAAAGAAAAAGCAAAAAAGGAAAATCATTTCGATTGAAAATTTAGATTAAGAATTAACTGTGCCACGCGCACTCTCCATTAGTGAGTGCGCCCCATCGTAAAGAAAATATCACCGTAATGAAAATCTCTTTCTTGTATATTCATCACCAATCTTCAAAAATCAATAACCACCACCACCATGCCTAATAATATTAAATATTCGGAAGATCAGATTTAGATGGCATTAGACACCATAAAATCAAATCCAAATTTAAAAATTATAGATGTGGTGTGAGAATTCTAAATTCCATATGGAACTTTATATTGACACATTAAGAGAAAGAGATCAAGGAATATGAAAGCTCTGATCAATCAAATGTTGAGTGACAGTCAGAAGAAAGTGATCAAGAAGTGAATTCATCAATTGAATAAAAACTTTTGCCCTCCTATAGTTGAACATATTGAAGCTGCTGTGAATTGAATACTGAGTTGTTATTATCTTAATTCTGACATCCCTCCTCCTACCATTGACAAGATATGAGCGTATCAATTCATCAAATGTCTGCCAGATTATAAGAGGATTAAACAGAAACCTATGAATTCAAAATGAGTGTCAAATGAGAATATAAGCTTTGTTATCAAATGGTTCAACTGCTATGAATCTGTCTTCAATTAGTATAAGTTTCACATCAGTGATATTGTATTTGAATTCTCATCTCATACAAGTCATCTACTGCAATCTCTTGATGGTGTACCTTTTCAGCAATATAATCATTATCATACAAAAGTAGTTAACAAGGCTTCTTAATACAGATATGAGCAATATAATGAGAGGTTGTTCCTTGCTAATCTAGAGAGTGTCTGTTATCATATCTTCAAACCTGCTATCATTAGAGCTGGATTCATTGAGATTCACTGATTGTGGAATCTATTCAATCAAATGAGAAGTAATCCTTCAATGTCTGAGACAATATAAAATAGATGGCGGCCTAGAGCTGCTTGTTTATGATGATGATGAAGAATGCTTCAGTTTTACTCCATTTATGAGATTTGATTCTTCACCACATCTTCTCAGTTGACATTTCCAGATATAGTCATAAAACTATATCAGCAAATCAAGGCAGTAGATAATGTCATACAAGAGATGGAAAACACTCTGACATTTGATCTGACTCAGTGATTGGATAAGATCTTCAAGAAGAGTCTGATACAGGCAGAATTGAATATGCATTAAAAGAATGAGTTATCTGATCATTATTTGATGAATTGATGCTGAATTGTCAAAAACAGCCACAGACAGGTGCAGATAGGGAGGATCCTCACTATCAAGGATGCCAATCACAAGATCAAGTATTGTAAGGAAGAGGAATCAATAAAAGAGAGAAATAGAACTCCATAGTCAGTTAAGATTAAAGTCTTCAAATCTAATGCCAATCAACCACAACGTGATGTTATTAATGAATCTCAATCTATCAGAGATTCTACACTCTCTAATGAGTATATAGATAATCTTTATATTATAGATAGGCATGGTGTTGACCATTAATTAATTTTTGAAGATTGGTGATCCTAGAAGATTTTCATTACAGTGATATTTTCTTTACGGTGGGGCGCACTCACTAATGGTGAGTGCGCGTGGCACAGTTAGTACAAGGGCTTCTTCTGTTTCCTCATTTGATTCTGAGAGTTAAATTACTTACTAACCATCAGCGATAACTAGTTAAGTAACGTAGTGCCTCTTTATTTTATGAGGCTTGGCAATAATCTGTCCTGCCACCCCACTCACTCCTCACATCGCACAACGCTGGATACCCGGACGGCCCAAGACGCAGTCAAGTCGGGTATTTAGCTCAGCCGAAGTATGGGTTACTATGCTATAAGTGCAATAGCTAATTGACTGGAGGTCTTTCTTCTCCACATCCAGCCACAAACACTCCGAATTCAAATTGACTCACGGAGCTCACTGGAAACGGCTTTATAACTACCATCAGCTTTGGGATTTGATAAAACTTGCAACCGCTGCAGTTGCTGGATTCTTTTACATCCTCCTTGAACTTGATGTTGTCCTTGGAGCGTATCATGCCTCACTTTCAGATAGGATTATTATAGCCATCGCTAGGGCTGATAGCGGTAGAAGCATTGAGCATTTGACGTCCCTAATTGCCTATCACTGGGGACAAGAGGTCCTCGTACATTCCCTCAAATAACTATGTCACCCACTTATGCATTTTCCGAAATTCCAACCATTGACCTGTCTCTAGCGGAGTCTCCTGCTACAAAACCAGAACTTCTCGAGCAGCTACACCATGCGCTTGTTTCTGTTGGGTTTCTATACGTGTCCAACCATGGTGTTCCAAATGAGACCATTGCCAATCTTGTTGATGTGCTGCCACACTTTTTCAGCTTACCTGACTGGGCAAAGGAGGAAATCGCCCTGTATAATTCTCCCCATTTTCTAGGATATAGCAGCGTTGGCGCAGAGACAACTGGGGGGAAAGCAGATAGAAGGGAGCAGGTTGAGTTTGCGACTGAGTTGAATACAATATATGCACCTGGAAGACCCCTATACGAAAAATTGAGGGCCCAAACCAGGTAAACTTTTACTCACATATTAATTTCCTTTCACGTTGCCTATCTCATTGCATATACTTCTGAGAAGGCTCGCATGGAATTGTATTAAAATGTTATCTATCACTCTATGTAGTGGCCGTCCCAACTCCCGGACCTCAAACCAATTGTTCAATCCTACATCACGGAACTCACGTCGCTTGGCGAGCGCTTTCTCCGCCTTGTAGCGGAAGCCCTTTCCCTCCCTCCATCAACATTTATCCCTTTCCTATCTGACCAACACCGCCTGAAGCTCGTTCATTACCCCGGCACCACTTCCTCCAACCCAGCCGATAACCTCGAAGGAACCCAAGGTGTTGGCCCCCACAAAGACTCCTCGGGTTGGTGGACGTTTCTCCTTCAAGCTTCTCCACCCTCCGTAAAAGGTTTACAGGTGCTCAACAAAGCCGGAAACTGGATTGACGTTCCTTGTGTTCCCGGCACATTTGTGGTTAATATCGGCCAGGCATTCGAGGTCGTGACTAATGGCGTCTGCAAAGCCACCACGCATCGTATGCTCATGGAGCCTGGGTCTGGTGAACGATTCAGTGTACCATTTTTCCAGGGGGTCAGGCGCTGTTTAACTAAAGAGGAGGCCGTAGGGATGTTGAGGGATGAATTTCAGAGGACTGTGGCGATTGGTGACGAGTCTGAAGAAGGAATGAGGATTGATTCGCCGTTTTTGAGAGGGAAGTATGATACGTGGGGTGAATCGCAGTTGAGAACAAAGGTGGGGAGCCACAGGGACGTGGGCAAGAAGTTTTACGCCAAGGTTTATGAAACGTATGTGAATGATGATTGAGAGATATGTTGCATATACACTGCAATCGGTCTCACATTTTCGAGAGACACCCCGATTTCGTGTTTTACTGCTCAGTATATCATACCATATATGATCACTCCTTGGACAAACTCCGATATATCGGGCCTCTCTTCAAAGGAAGGTCGTCAATATGCTACCCGAATGCCATGAGTTGATAATATTTGGTTAACAAGAGTCCAAGGTGTACGTATACAGAAAGCATCCATATCTCGCCTATCTTTTTCCTTATTGGTTTTGCCACTAACTAGCCTTAGGGTTTGTAAGTAATACTTGGACGCCAAGCAATTTAAGGAGCCGAAGATCCAGGACTGGGCCGTATCTGGGATGAAGATCTTAGCTCTTTGCCCGTTAAATTAAATTATAGAAATCTACGACGCCCAATATTATGTTGGATCAACTGCCCCTTCCTTGCCATCCCACCTGCGGGGGCCTTGCAAAATAATGGATTGGTGCTTGAGATCTCGGGTCTGAGGTGGGCGATGCACGGTCTTTCAAAACATGATGTACTGTATATTACATCGGAGTTGACAGGGGGATTAGGGCAGCACAGGAAGGGCAATATTCAAGTCGCGATTGGCGAACGTGCCCGGCATCGACGCATCTGCGCTTGTGGGTGCTGAAGCCACAACACTTCGGGATATCATACAAGTGCCGAAGATGCTTGATCGTGTCCTTGATGAATATAGCAATGCCCTTATAGATGCGCATCATATGGAGTTGATACTGTCATGCTTGAGCATCCTTGGGGCACTTGCCATGGAGTGGAGAAGTGAAAGGGCAGGGAAAAGCATTGAGGGGGGAGGGATGTGGTTAAGAATTGTAGAACAGTGAGTACGCGATAGTTATATTGATGAAAGTTAGTATCAAGAGAAGTGATTGTTAACACCGTGATTAGCATTGTTTCAGAGGGTCTCTTTTAATATCTTTTTTCTCAAAGATAGATCTCTTTTTCTTTCCATATATCCTCTATGCTATTCATTCAACAATATACTTCCTTGAAGCTAGAGTCAGATTTGATCCTTCTTATAAGGTCAAATCAGTAGTACTACTAACCTATCCGAATTGGGGAAAATTTTATCGTATAAACGAATTAAAAAGCCTCTCATCCTAGTAAGTAGAAAATTGCTCAATCGTTCAAAAACCCTGCACGGTAAGCCCGTTGAGACCGACCTAATTTGATAATATATATGAGTGTGTACATGTTTTGCTATCATAAATAGTGGTTCCCTGTCGCAGACCATCTGAATGAAGCAGTTCGAGGCAACGCCTGCTTAACGTAAGAGGGGTATTCATACAACACCAACGGGCGGATCCACCTGATAAACACGTTTTAGCTATTTCTGCACTCTCTTCCCATTTTCACGCGGAAACCCACTTTCTCTGGCTCTTTTCTTTTGGTCATTAACTGTTTTCGTGTGTAATCAACTCTCAATATTCCCCGACACGTCGATATTCACGTATTGCAAACACGGAATTTTGGTCCACATGTACGATTCTTTTCCTTTCGAGCGCGTTCTTTCTGTGCCTGGCGGCATTGCCACTTATGCTTGGGCCAGTCAAAGGACTGGCATATGGTGGAGCAATACCTTGATTGTGGAACATACCACACCGATTAACGTTGTGGAAGGGTCCTTCTACCACAGGAATATTCTGGGATTGACAAGAGATGAGAACATAGAGAACCACAGCTTTAAACCTACCAAATTCTCCTACACCCGCTGCACCGCGCTGTATTGCTTACACGCCCGCAGCACTCGCAGCTCGTTGCAGAAGGGATTGGAAATTCGGGACGCAGTATGTTATTAACATAATCTTTGGCAGCCTGCTCCGCTCGCCGATCGCACTCCCCTGCAGATCGACAAATTGGCACGACTGAATCCCAAAATAACGGACGAGAGGCAGGAGATGTTCCTACCCGGGGACTCAGAAAGGGAAGGCCGGAATGGTATAATTCCTTTGCAGGCTCTCCACATATTTGGCAGACCCATGAACGTGCGGCAAAAATCTCCTTGTTGTGACGGATGACTATGGATTGAAACAATTGACCTTCTGCATCGTGGTCAATGGGCGTTTCCAGTGTACGGTTGCATATGGAACTGGGGCTCTCTTCCTGGAATCTAAAATTGTAATCATATCCCCCATAGAGGTCTGGAATTGGGATTCCGCATATCCCCTGATATGTGATTTTAGTTGTCTGCAGTCGAGATACCTGAAAGCGACCTGACATTGTTGGTTGCTTGGGGGAGGGGCTGGTATTTTGCCGCTCAGTGTGCAGATATCGGGAGAAACGATAAAAAGCGATATAACTACCCTGGAAGTGACGTGCAAAGGAGCTGCAACGATGAGATGCAATATCCATCATTTGGAGCGTCATCAGCATTTCTTCGTAGGAATCCCGAGGTCTCTAGAGGTGATGCCCATTTTGGGTAGTTTTGACTTCACTCCTTTGAGCCTCGCCGTCACCCATCGTCAGAAAAGTTGACATATTCTCTTTCGCCATATGAGCCACCATATGTTTGTCATATAATTATCTAGTCCTAGGCTACAGGACGAATCAACGTCGCTAAACATTCGACATCCCCCCTATGCGTGCAAGACGGCACGCTCTGGTTGAGAGGCGCTTATTCAACGCCGGCTTGCTAAAATATCACCAAGTTCCCCCCGCTAACCACTATTTTCGGGCAAATTACAGCAACTGCGTGGTTACGAGGATATCATCAAGACACAGGCGTGGGGTGGGCATGTACCCGCTTGTTACAGAGTGATTTCGGCTCCATAACTATTAGACACTTCAAACATATTTACATACTTGCTTTCTTCAGGTTTCTAAATTGTTCTCGCTTCTATTTTGAACTGATTTAGTTCCAGTTGTCTCTGGTTTTTGTCTAATGCTTCCCATACTTACCCGCCACACCTATATATCTGTCATGTTATACGACAGCATGTGAACCGATACCTATATCGGCTTCACTATTTATATAGATAGTTATTCCCACATGGAGCCTTTTTCTTTCTTCTTTCTTCTCTTTTCTATAATTTCCCCTCTCTAATGTAACTTATGGATAAATCCAACGCTCGAGGTAAGAGGATTCGATTGGCACTTCCAAGCTCCCAGTTAGTGATATTGAATGGGTTCGACGTCTGTGTCGATATAGACCAGATTTTTCAGATAGAAATAGTCAGATGCAGAGCTTTAATTTATAAATCAATATGATTTTGCAGCAATGGCAGCCCAAAATATTCCGAGTGTCTCTCACTTTGTAGACAATCAGCAGAATTTCCAACAATTGGGTGTAAAATGGTGTACATAAATAGCTAGGTACGTCCAACGATTCGTTCACAGAGGAATGGCTGCTCAAACAGCAGGAATGAATTTTGGCGCCATGAAACCTCTCCTACTTTTCGCTAGCCATGAGATCTGAGTAAGATAGGGTAGGCTTGCTGCACTTAGAAAGGTAAATGGTAACCCTCGAGCTATTATACGACGCGGCAGACAGAGCTATTCGTATAGTGCTCAAAAGTGATTATTGTAACCCAGGGACTGTGTGAAACTAGCTTTGAATCAGAGCTTCCAACTAATAATACCTTCAAGCACTATCTGTAGCAAACGTATCAAACCACCTTTTGAAAAGCCTTTCATCAAACACGACTAGCATCTTCATAAGCAAACAGAGCCGTCTGTCGTGTTTGTCGATGCGTCCTGGAACTGGCGAACAATCATTCCCAATCGCAACGCCCAGTCTTCACGCCGTGTCTCTTGGATAAGGTCATTGGCCATATCTAACCTTCTAGCATATTTCTTCGATTTTCCCGTCGCCGAAATCTTTCTGCCATGCATGTGGAGTTCTGACGTCATTGCATTGGACGTGGCTAATAGCGCGGTCGAGATGACAAAAAGCGCGAGAATAAGAATCTGTCCTGGTTTGCTGACATTGCTGACGAGAGCAACGTCAGTATAAACGAGCAACGTCGCAAATGCTGTGATTGAATCTTCTGCGAACGAGCAGTCTCGCAGCCATTGGCCAGATGTCACGGCTTTTAGGTCATCCACCGCACCTTGAAGTCTGACCCATCGATCCTGGCTTAGGAGAATAAGGAGGTCGCCTTGAACTCCAGGTTCGGGCGCACCTTTCCAGCCAAGGGTATTCCGTCGGCGAATAACGATCACATTGCAGAGGCGAGCGAACATCAGTGCCAAGAGAGCAGAGACACCCCACCAGTCGTGTGCGATAATTAGGACTACTAAAACGGCTTGTGATGCAATGGCGGCAAGGAAGTATGGTATGTTTGAAGATGCAAATGTCGCAGTCAAAGGGAAGAGGAAATTCAATTTTGACCGGAGGCCAGTATTTGATTTTGAAACTGGAGCTACCTTGAGGTATGTAAGGTGACCGGTAACACTCATCTTCTGTAGGAATAGCACGGCAGCTGGATTTTCCACACGGAATACATATCCCGATGTCAACGCGGCAGTTGCTGGGTACTCGCCATTGTTGAGTTCGGGTGCAGATTGTTGCCGATGTATGCCGGGACAAAGCACGAGTGTGTCAAGGAGAGCTGATGCACCTGTGAGCGCCGTGCGTTTAGCGAGAACCGAAACCTCTGCGATGGCTACAAGGCCAGCGGCGTTCAATGAAACACCCGTCACAGGAATGAAGTTCCAGGAGCGCGGATGCAATTCGGCCTTCTAATGTTAGACTACAGTAGGAATAAACACTTTGTTGACACGTACCTGATGTGGGATATACATATTCAAAATATCGGTGATGAAAGACAACATATTTAATACCACCTCCATGGCAGGCGTTTGCTTCTGGGGTTTGAGGCTCTTTTAACTGCTTGATGTCAATGAAGAGGAACTGAACACACCTAATCGTGCCGTGGCTGCACAATCCGCTTGGTTGGCTGATGAGTTTCTGCGCGCTCAGACAACTAGTGACTAGAAAGCCTTCAGCGCCTCACCAAACTCTGTGAACCTCGCCCCGCCTGAGATGAAATATATGAGGAAAGCAACACTATGGTTGGTTGGGGAAACCATGGGCTACAAACAGCGAACGTCGAACCATGCCTATTCTATCAGTGCTAGTGCACTGCATGGTGTCCTCATCACAGCCTGATGGGATGCAGAAACGTCAATTCCAGCCTTGCGCATCCTGACGCTATCATAAATATCCCCTCTCCGCCTTGAGATAAAATGGTGTTTGAAATCCTTGTATGTTATCGGCAGGGCGGCTTTCGTCAAAGTTATAGTCCTATGAAGAGTGCCTTGAAAGTGCCTATTTCAACACCATCCAAGAGGGTCCTTGGGGCACTTGTGTCCAGCCAATGTGAGCATAGAATTACGGCCAACGATCAAGCTTTTCTTTCCCAAAATATATGGCAGCGTACAACTATCACGGGCAATGCCCTCTAAAACGAGGGGAATTTCGGCTTGTACGACTCCACCGAGGCGAAGGCAATGCCGAACTTGAATGCAATCTGCTGAAGCGTACTCTTCCTAGCGACGACATGCCGGAGAGCGATTCCCTCGGTGCGGTGGTCAGTGCGCCAAATCCAGAGCCGTATGAAGCCCTGTCATATACTTGGGGGCCAAAAGGTGAAAACTGTCTTATCAAAATTCTGGAAGCTGATGAATCTCATGCAATGGAAATTCGACCCAACCTTAAAGCTGCATTGCTGCGTTTCAGACTTCCTCGGTCACATCGATATTTGTGGGTGGATGCTCTCTGCGTGGATCAGGACAATCAGGAGGAGAAAAGTACCCAAGTCAGCATGATGTTCCGGATCTTTGATACCGCGGAGAGTGTCTGCGTCTGGCTTGGTGAAGAAGCCGACGGAAGTGCCAGAGCAATGGAATTTATCCGATGTCGTCTGAAACCTGACAATTTTGACAAATTGGTGGAAGACCAGTCGTTATCCGAGGAGTGGGTAGCACTGTGCGCCTTGATTCGACGACCATGGTTCAGTCGACGGTGGATAATCCAAGAGATAGCATTGGCAAAGAAAGCCACTGTATTTTGCGGTGGATCGAACGTGGACTGGGAAGAGTTCGCTGACGCAGTTTCCCTCCTTGTCCATAGTAAGGAGAACGTGCGGAGGCTCTTGAGAAAATCCAAGGATTATAGTGATCATCCAGACTACCTTGGAGATGTTAGTGAATCAGCAGCTGCCCGGCTGATAGATGCATCGGATAACATGTTCAGGAAATCAGAGAAGGGACAGATCCTAGAACGCCTCCTTTCTCTAGAAGAACTCATGTCCTCCCTATCGGCGTTCGAGGCCTCAGACGCCCGAGATGTGCTCTACGCGATTTTATGGCTAGCCCGCGATGCACGCCCGGGTTTCAAGGGCACATCATTCACAACTTCGGATGACACCACCAATGAATGGCCAAGAAGGCTATCTGTATCCAGCGACTTTCCGACATCACCCACAAGTGGAGCTGATTCCCTAGATGCACAACTTCGTGCGCTTGCCCACGTCGCAGAGGGTAGAAAAAGAGCCCTTTCTGATACCACAAGCAATGAAACACCCCACAAGCGCGTAAATGGCACCGAAAATCTCGATATCCCCCAAATTTCTATAAGTTATGTCAATTCACGAGCGAACGAAACGATGGGAGATCGTTTAGTGAGGATGGCAAATTCACCTACCGATCAGCGCGAACCTCTAAATCCTATTGTGACCAACGGTCACCCATTTCTCACTTCTATTCTAGAAATCTCACCAACCCAGGGTTCTGTTGACTCGAATCTAAGTGTGAGAAGAGACTCAATAGGAAGACAGGGCTTCTTGGCGATAAAAGCTGCAAAAACACTCCGCGAGAGGGCGAAGAAAAACAGTATCCCGGTTGATTACAATAAAAGTGTCCTTCAAGTGTGTAAAGATGTTTTAAGATTCATATTTACTCAGTCAAACTCGCTAGACATGATGTGCCGACCATGGGCACCCTCTGGCACCAAGCTTCCTTCATGGATGCGCCCCGTATCAGATAAAGCCTTTGCCACCGAAAGGCAAGGAGTTTATCGTCGGGTTAATGCCGATTCGTTGGTAGGTAAACCCTGGCCCAGCCCAAATCTCTACAAGGCTGCCCATGATATCCCCGCTTGTTGGTCGTTTGATTCTGAAGTGGAGGAGATCCTAAATGTCAAAGGCTTCGTCCTTGATACGGTACGGCAAAAGGCATCAGCAGCCCGCGCGGGAATTATTCCATCCGACTGGAACAAAATTGCGGGTTGGGAAAACACATCCCTACCTCCCCCAGAGGCCTTCTGGAGGACGTTGGTTGGAAATCGGGACTTCGAAAGCCGCAGGCCGCCACGACACTGGAGGAAGGCGTGCCAGGACGCCTTCAGTCTTCGAACGTCGGGAGGGGATCTCGATATGAAAGAATCGGTTGCATATGGGTGCCCCAAGTTTGTGCAGCAGTACCTCGAGCGAGTGCAATGCACTGTATGGTCACGAAGACTTGCGGTGTTAGCACGCATTCCAGCGCACGAAGCGTTGTGTCTTCTCCCCATGGGGGCTAAAAAGGGGGATAAAGTATGCATTCTATATGGATGCAACGTTCCTGTCTTGCTTCGTGATAGGGATGCGAGCAGGCGTTGTCGGTGCGAGTGTCAGCTGCGAAATTGCCTGTGCTGCGCGCACAACCACCCAACAGATTTAGACGACACGACGCCCTCTCGGTATGATCTGATTGGCGAGTGCTACGTGCATGGAATGATGGATGGGGAGGCTCTTGATTACAAATTGAAAAACAGAATCAAAGGACAGAATTTTGACATCCAATAGCAAAAAAGATGGGCTCTTCAGGGCTCTTCAGGTTGGAGTGAGGTTATGGACCTTGTTGGATTGGATAAAGTCCGTTAACGGATTAAAACATAGCGAAGGGTCCGCTAATAATGAATCTGAATTGGACATACATGTATACATTTGAGACAGCGTATTGTCTATCCCCTGCTCGTGTTTTAAAACCCCAATGTATTCCGAACCAAAGGGCTTATATATCGAGTATTGCATTTTGGAAATCAGGGGTTGGCTGACCTACCGTGAGCAGATATTAACAACCAATTCAAATGGTTTCGCTAAGTATCCGGTATGATGTGCAGTAGCGATCGCGCTGCGAGGACCACTCGGAAAAGGGTCAATTATATTTTGTGAGTTTCAAGCTGGCCCCCCCCCCCCCCCCCCCCCCCGAACCAACATGCTTTTTGCTATGCCATGTTGGCAATTGGTTTCTCCTTGGGAGTATTGAAGCCAAACCGGCACACCCAGCCTCACGAAGTGTGTGATGGACGGTTCCCCTCTTTCCAATAGCTATCAACGCCGAATTTATCTGCCGGGTTAATTTAGCATACCATTCAGCATTGTGCGATCCGCAAGTCCCGCGACAAAAGGCGTTGAAGTTGGGGACAGGTATCCTCAATATAAGATCCAGTAATTCTAAGTCATGCGAAGTCCAGCTGCATGAAAGAAATTCATACAAACGGAGGCAACGTTGCAGAGCAATTGACACATTCAAATAATAAATAGACATGTGCACAAGGTATATGGATTGGCGTGGAAATAGCGGACCATTAAATGTATATATGTAAGCATCCTCCAAAGGAAATCTACGTATTGGGGGAAAAAAATATTAAAATAAAGTAAAGAAACAGGAAAACAGGAAAACAGGAAAACCTGAAGATGAAGCACATAGGAAAGAAAAGCAATGAAATACATGACGAGAGAATAGAACAATTGTACAGAATAAGATTGCTGATCTCCACCCAAAGACAGATTGAAGCCGCCCATCGGAATAGGGTAGTCGTGGGAGATATGGCTGAAGCTATGGAGTATGTAGGTTGGAATGAATGTGCACAATCTCCGTGGAAGTGGGATAGAAGTGGGGGACGGGGAAGGAGATGGAAAATTTAAAGGGGGAAGCACCAAAAATCTAGCAAGGAAGTGAAGTCAACGAACAAAAGAGAAAAGAAGACGCAAAAGCAGTCAAGACATCATTCTACACCACAACTACACCACATTCTCACTCCATCGTCTTTTTTCTCGAAAAACGTGTCGCATACTTTACTCGGGCTTCCGTCCCACCATCATGAACATGGGGGTGAATAACTTCAGCTCACCACCTTTTACCAAGCAGTCAGCAGCATATGCCAAACTGTATGCAGTCTTCTGGGTGCCATGAGGCATAATTCCAATTTTCTCCAGGCCACCAACCAAGCGATGAACAATCGCACGCCCCCACCATGTCAAACGGAGAATGGTCAGGAAGTCACCAATAGAGCTCATATACTTCCACGATCCGGCCAAGGGGTAATACCAAGGGATCTCATCTCCTCGATCTGCGAGATCTTCGGCATGTAGAAGTTCAAAACCAGCAGTCTTAATGGCCGCAAGCGCAACATCAGCCTTGACCATGTTGGAGATGCCATTACCCTGCTCAATTCCAAGGCGGATTTCACGGTGCTCTGCGTTGTCATTGTCATATTTGTCAGTCATAACCCACTCATATACACCAAAAGTACCACCAGGCTTCAAGACCCGATAAATTTCACTGTATATGCCTTCAAGGGACGGGGCGTGGACAGTGGCTTCAATAGCATAAACTGCATCGAAAGTCTCCGGTTCGAAGGACATCTGCATAAAATCTCCCTTGGTGAAACGCAGTTTATCCGACAGACCCTCCTTGGTGGCGTAATGGATGGCACGATCGATCTGGTAGTCGTTGTTGTTCAAGCCAATGACATTGACACCCGTAAACTTAACAATTTCTCTGGCAGGGCCACCAACACCGCAGCCTACGTCAAGGACAAGTTGGTTTTCCTTCAGACCTATCCAATGGGCAAGGTAATGTTCATGCCGAGCGATGGATTGGCGGAAAGGCTCGCCGTACGCGAAGCGGCAGAAATGGAAGGATGATCCCCAGCCATACTCATAGAAATCGGTAGCAAGATTGTAGTAACTATGAATGGGCAACCAAGCTGTCATTTAATAATCGCAGCTTACGTAAAGGGGCTAACTCTAATGGGACCAAATGGGAGGAGGAGACACTCACTGTCGGGTAAGAGTAGCATATTCCGCTCGTCGTGCCTAAATAATAGTGGTATTAGAACTATCCATTGCTAGAACACTCCTCATCCAGATGCAGCACTAACCTCTCTGACTTCTTCAGTTTCATCCGCAGAGGACTTCTGGTCCCAATGCTTGAAATACTCCTCCAGAGCGGCCTTTTGCGCGTTGCGATCCTTGGCTGTCAGAGCTGCCAGACCACCACGTCTTTTGGCAGAAGTGCCATGGAGGGCCTTACTGAAAGCAGCATCACGTTTGTGGTCCTCAGGCTCGAGTACTCCTGGCGCCATGTTGCCGGTTATATATGTTGTAGAAGCGAGTGGAGGGGGATTGTGGCGAGAAAAGGAGGTGCTGAATAGACAAAGGAGGGAGGATTACGAAGTGGATTTCAGAGTCAATTGGTCTTTCTTCAATTTGGAGGTCCCAAGCAGTTGAGGATATCAAGAGGATATAACTCCAGAGCGAATGTTGGGTTGTTATCGTGGAGTGAAAAAGATGTTTGGAAACAATGAAAATAAATTTGGAGAAAACTCACCGCGATCCAGGAACAGCGAGCGACAAAGGGGGCTCAATCACCGGGACATCATGCCTAATAAGGACTAGTGATTGTAGCCTCAGCCAAGCACAATCAGGAGTGATGGAGGGCAACCTGTAGCCAATAAGGAGCTTTGAAATCGCGGCAGCCTCAGGAAGTGGATAATACGCTAGCCTGCATACGGCCTAGTCTGCAGCAAACGATTGTGCCGACGTTCTCTTGGCCAATCATAAGGGATGCTCTGGCTGTCAGCCACAACAACCGTTCGATCCGGATAAAATTATTCCAAGTTCCTTTGCTTAGTAAATCACCCCTCTGAATTCATGTGACAATGCCAAATTCGATAAATCCAAATGGGGTAAGGCTGATTTCCGATCTTGGATATCAGATTGGACGTCATCAAAAACCATCTTGAAAAACCAACTTCAGCAAACAGTTATACCTATAGGTAGCAACACTTACACCTCACCTGTCACCATGGGCCCTCCTCCTCAGATAAAACAAGATATAAACCGCTCGGGCTGGGAAACAACAGACTTCCCCTCTGTTTGCGAATCATGTCTCCCCGACAACCCCTACGTCCAAATGCTCAAAGAGGACTACGCCGCTGAATGCAAAATATGCACGCGCCCTATGACCATGTTCCAATGGAAACCCGACCGAACAGCACGCACAAAACGCACAAATATCTGTCTGACATGCGCACGACTCAAGAACTGCTGCCAGTGCTGCATGCTGGATCTCTCCTTTGGCCTGCCCATCGTGGTTAGAGATGCGGCCTTGAAGATGGTGGCACCAGGACCTCAGAGCTCGATAAATAGAGAATACTACGCCCAGGAACACGAGAAGGAGATTGAGGAGGGCAGAGGGGCGGTGGAGGAATATGCTAAGACAGACGAGAAGGCTCGAGAGCTACTCAGGAGGCTGGCTAATAGCGTACCCTACTATAAGCGGCAACGGCGAATACAACCAAGCGGCGAGAGCGGTGACCAGCAGGAAGGATCAGGACAAAGGCGAATAGGATACGGACCAGGACCGGGCGCTGGAGGTTCTACACCGGGTCCCATTCGAACCGGCGATATTCGGCGTGGCGGACCTCCTGGCCGAGGAAGAGCTGGCATGCGGGGTGGACGTGGTGGTGGTGGTGGTCGTGGCGGACGAGGCTTCCCCAGCGTTGCGCAGCTGCCTCCTGGGCCGCAAGACATTCTCCCCCCCGAAGATACCAACATCACATCCCTCTTCATCACCGGCGTCGAGGACGATCTTCCCGAACATGCAATACGGAGCTTCTTTACTGAATTCGGCACGCTGCGCTCGCTCATCTGCTCACATCGATCCCATTGTGCCTTTGTTAACTACGCGTCTCGAGAGGCGGCGGAGAAAGCTGCAGCTCATTGCCAAGGTAAGGCGGTGATTCAGGGCTGCCCACTTCGAGTGCAGTGGGGTAAACCTCGGCCACTGGATAGTATGGACCGGGAGGAGAGGATGCAGAACGCACGACAGGGACGGTTGATGGCACTAAGAAGAAGTTCTGGGGTGGAAAGGACCGCGAACGAAACTACGCAGAGTGGGAATATTGGTAGTGCTTTACAGGACACAGAGAAGAAACCGACATATACCATCGCTCCGCCGCCAGGGAGTGGGGATGTTCATTATGCTAGCTTGGCTGGGGATTGATGTTGATTTCGGAATATTTTACGATTCGTTCGGCGTTAATAATCTGTAGAAGGAATACTGTGATGTTGTTTCCTTCTTGTTTCTTATTTAAAATCATCTGTGTATTATATACAGGGGGCTTTGGGTTTCTATTATATATCTTACTCGACCTTATCTTCCCATTGGACAGGTTTTCTTTCACCTCGTATACACAGACTGTTGACGTGCGCAGCCTAAATGTAGTTCCATGTGCCTCTCTCCAACGGTTCATCGGCGGGGCATATACATCCTCCTTCAAAAATCGCATCAGCCAGTATATCTGTCCAGAGAATTCATAGTCCTAACAAGTACACATTCCAATTGCCACTCGACCTTGGAGCGCGTTAAAACGCCCTTTCGCCTTCACGATTGCGAGCACGTCTTGCCAACCGCAGCCTTGATTCTCTTATTCCCCGCCGTCTTAATTGTATCGTTATCCCCGCGTTCGATGTGCTCATGAATACGCAACTCTACAACCAAATAAGTCAGTCTATCTATCTATCTATCTATCTATCTTTCTTTCTTTCTTTCTTTCGTTTTTATCTTTCAACCCACAACAATCAAACAAACCAGCCAATCAGCCTGAACTACAACGGCAAGAGAAAAGAAAAGGGACACACACCATACCGCTCCTCCCCCTTTCCTGCCTCCCCGGAACCCTCAACCCTCACACCTTGGACAACATTCGTCCGCAAAATCTCCGCCGTCTCAACCGCATGTTGAATGTGCTTTGGAGTATCAACGCCCAGTCTGCGATTTTGGTCGAAGTGCTTGCGGGCTTCTGCCCGGGCGGCGTGGAGGGTTGTAAAGTCGCCTGTTGCAAGAAAATTCGGGGTTAGCTAGGGGATCGGTTGGGAGATAGAGGGGTAACTATACGAGGGAGGACATGCGTTTTACCTTGGAAGGCAATGCGGGTTGCGCGGAGGAGGAGGCGATAGGCGCTCAGTGCGTTTGGCAAGGGTGTGGTGGCCATGATTGCTATGGGTATATGGGTAAGTGTGATTATTATGAACTTGGTAGAGTATCTTTCAGCATGTGGATCGTGGGCCTGGGGAATTTGCTAAGTTGATCGAGGTTTCGAGAAGAGATAAGATGCCTTCAATAAGGGACTCTATTTTCTGCAGAAATAAGAAATAGCCAGTTTTATCTAAGAAGGATCATTATCGGATATCGTCATGCTTCATCAATATCATCTGAATAGCGGGTAATTGAAGGAGATTCCAACTCATCGACGACCTTTCAATTAGTTGTCCTGTCACTCCAAAAAACAGAAGCTTGCGGCGAATTGATTTCTCCGTCCCAAACAAGTTTAGCGTCTCTCGTCACCAAATAAAAAAAAAATATATTCAGGACAAGAACTTTTCTTACCGGTTTTACACTATGACATCTTCACATTCTCTTAGTTACACACTTCGGATTCTGTAACTCAAGCCGAAACGAAATGGCTGCTGCTGAGGTTGTGCTTCTGCCACTTCCAGTCCTGCCAGAGGGCTGGAGTGCAGAGAAAAACTTGAAAATTGTTGGTTCATTGTCCAGCGCCATTCAGAGGAATGTTGAGCCTGTTGGACCGCACTTTTTGGCTCATGCCCGTAGAGTATGCAAATATCTGATTTCATATTACACTTTGTATTTTGCGGGAGCGCTTGTTATTTTGGAATCAAGACTAATAGTGATCATTATAATAGAAGCGCCATCAACGCACATTCTCCGAGGACGACAGAATCCAGGCGCAGGAAAATGTCAAGAAGATCGAAGAAGACGAAGTCGATGAAATCAGTGAGCCGGAAGATCCTATCATGCTTCAACGGGACGCGAAGGACTGGAAGGTGTGCTTTTCCATTAGGACACTTGAGATTTTCACTTGTTCAACCACCCCGGACACTGACTGTATACAACAGGGCCAAGATCACTACGCAGTGCTCGGACTGAGCAAATACCGCTATCGTGCAACAGATGAGCAGATCAAACGCGCTCACCGGAAGAAGGTTCTCCGTCATCATCCAGACAAGAAGGCTGCCTCGGGTGATGCGGACGAGAACGACAGCTTCTTCAAGTGCATCCAAAAAGCCACCGAGATCTTGCTCGACCCCGTTCGGCGCCGGCAGTTTGACTCAGTCGATGAGCTTGCCAATGTGGCCCCACCAGGTAAAAAGAAAGGAAATTTTTTCAAGCTATGGTCCGCCGTCTTCGAAGCGGAAGCTCGATTCTCTAAAATCCAACCAGTCCCCAAGCTGGGTGATGAGAACAGCACGAAGGAAGAGGTCGAGGAATTCTACAATTTCTGGTACAACTTTGACAGCTGGAGATCGTTCGAGTATGAGGACGAGGATGTCCCCGACGACAATGAAAACCGTGACCACAAACGCCATATCGAACGGAAGAACGCCAATGCGCGACGGAAGAAGAAGACAGAGGACACTGCTCGTCTGCGCAGGCTTGTAGACGATGCCCTTGCAGCTGATGAACGGATCAAGAAGTTCCGCAAGGCGGAGCGGGCCAACAAAGACAAGCGCAAGATCGAGAAGGAGGCTGAGGCGAAGCGTCTTGCTGAGGAGAAGGAGAAGGCCCGTCTGGAAGAAGAACGCTTGAAGAAGGAGGCGGATGAGGCTGCTAAAGTTGAAAAGCTCGAAGGCAAGAAGGCCAAGGAGGCTGCGAAGAATGCTGCGAAGAAAAACAAGCGTGTGCTGAAGGGCAGCGTCAAGGATGTGAACTATTTTGCCAAAGGGGGAGATGCTTCTGCGGCCCAGGTCAACGGCGTCTTGAACGACGTCGATCTCATTATTAGCAAGATTAGCAATGAGGAGCTTGCTGAACTTGCTGCGAAGCTTGCGGCTGCTGGCAAGGATGCTGCTGCTGTCAAGTCAACGTATGGCCATGTCGTCAAGGGTCTTGTTGGTGCTGGGAAGTTGAAGGAGGGCGAAACGAAGTTCCTCACTGTATAAAGGTGAACGAACATGCCTCCTGTAACACTGTTTTGGCATATTTTTCATGTTTTCCTTAGTTTCTTCTTTCTTGAAGATTAGTGAGCAATCTTATGATTTCCACGAAGTTAGATGGACGAAATATAGAAAATGGTGGTAGCATTGAGTTCGCTGAGAAGGATATTTCACATTCTATACTCTCATGCATGACAGTTTCCTGCTCTAGCCCTGCTTGTCCAGATGTATCCCAGTTCTTTTTCCCCCTATGTGTGTACAAAACTGCACACAGTCGTGAGGGATCTTTGCAGATATTGTTGCGCGGTGAATTTTCATGATTAAAAAAGAGTAGGCAGTTATCTACATGAACCCGAGTAGATCTCCTTTAAGCCAAAAAGCTTTCTAACAATTCAAATCCACATGCACGAGTTTGATCAATATGCTGGTTGCACTTTATCTGCTCACTGTCATGCAGTCTTTGAATAAATATATACGGGATGTCGATGTTCTTAATGGCTCTTGCGAGCTTTTTCTCTAGTTGTTTTAGCTACCTGTTTTTAAAGAAATGGGGTTTTGTATTGAGGGCATTTCACCCCAATCATACCTTTGCACTCATAGATAAAGTCGTTCCACATCTCAAAGAGCAAGTCACTTCCTCACCACTTGAAAATGCATAGATAAGTCCGGCGGAAAGGCCTCAGGAGTCCAGTGAAACACTCACCCAAGATCCTCTAGATAACTAGTTCCACAAGGGTGGCGTAGAATCTCTACGATCATCTTCTCAAAACGGACTCCAGTGCAGTGTCGTGGGGAGCCGTTGGTACCGATGCAGGGTTTGCAGGAATGCGGGGGGATTGATGTGGGAAAGGGTTCTGTCGAAGGTGCCGGGGTGATCGTGACGATCAATGCTAACTACTAATTCCAAGAGCTTCGTTTGGGAACCAAATGTTTTAAAGTTCAGGATTTCTTGGAAAATCACTGCTGAAGAAGCCGTAATAGCTGAATCTTCCAGACATGTGGCTACGAAGAGTAGATGCGGCGAGATAAAGTTAGTTATCTACTGATCAAAAAAAAAAAAAAAAAAAAAAAAAAAAAAAAAAAAAAAAGAAAGAAAGAAAGAAAGAAAAGAAAAGAAAAAGAAAGAAAGAAAATCATCTCGAACGCAAAACTCCTTCGCTTTCACCGGCTCGACACCATAAAAACTCCATTCTCCAAGATGCAAGCGAAGCTAGCTTCATTGAGGCATGTATTTCCTCCAAAGGAGACAGAAGAGAGCAAAGAGCGGAAGCAAAGAAAAAGGAACATAACCCCCGAGACCGAACGAGAACATCCAAAATCCCCAAGTTTATGATTGGCATCGCAAAGTTCAGAGCCGTGTCCAGGATTCGTCTGCCGATTAACTATACTCCCCGTGAGGCTGGTGAACTTCCCCATATTTAGATAAACAGTCCTCTTTGGCATGAACTTGTGGTTGCTTTGAAAGTTGGCCTTAACTTTTCGTCTCCAATTGACATGGGGGCCCAATGGTTAGTTACAGCTGGAGTCGTGCTAAAGCGCTAAGGAGCGGTGTCCTCCAGCACCCCCCGTCACCTCCCAAAAATCCGAGTTGGTTCCATTTGCAATAATGGTCCAAAAATTGCGTCCCTGTCTGTAATGAGAGCGTAGATCTCGAGGGTTATCCAAAGAGAGTGCCGGCGTCTTGAAATATGCAAGGGATTGAAGGTCCAGGCAAAATCCATTTTTGATTATAGTTACAGCAGAACACAGGCAGCCATCAAGTAGTTACCGTCGTAGCTAGTTACAGCATCCAACAATGAAATGTTTTGCAGTTCCCCGCCGACACACCACACAATCGATGCATTTATCAGCCCCCGTTCTTTCTTGTCCGTATCGTGCAGCAAAACATGTCTGGGTACCCAATGGGTAAAATCTAGCCGGCAATCACAAGTGGTCCCTTCTCCGTACCACGCCCCAAGCGACGACATTCAGAGAAGCAGGTCTCGGCGACGCCAACCTATCGGCAGCTTCTGTCTCGGGCTGATTCGAGCGGACTTTTTGCACCGAACGGGCAATCCGATCGCTGAATCAGTCGCAGACCCGCGAAGAGAGTCAACTGATGGTTCTTACTCAGCCACAACCAGCAGGTGACGGGTTGATGGTGAACATTCAAGAACTCCTCCAAGAATCCGATGAGATACCGGAGATGCGACGAGAAACCATTAGGTAACAGGAACCTGATGTGCAGCCGTGGCCTCGTCTGGACTGGCAGCAAGCGCAACACAAACAAGGCCTGGGAGTGTTGTGTCTAGCGTATCTATGTGGGGAAACAAACCCCCTCCTCTCACACATTGTAAATGGCATTGTTGGATGGCCCACCTGCCGGCAGCTGTGTGCAAGGTGTCAACCGGGCGACGGGTTTGTCCGTTGGTTGCGTCTTGCTGCTTACTCGGACCCGAGCTCTCGAGCAGTCAGTTACGGAGAGAGCAAGAATCGTATATAGAGAAGAAAGATGCATATAGAGAAAAGAACCAAGGAAAGCGACAAATACACTCCCTCCCCCCCAAAGCGTAAACTATTAGCTGCTGGCAAATATTACCTACCGTATTGTATTGTATTGTATTGTTCCAGCAAGGTTCGCTGCTTACACCGGAAGGGCTAAACCAATACGTATTATGCAATACAAACGCCAAGATTTCACTGTGCCCCCCAGCCCCAGCCCTAGCCCCAGCCCTAGCCCTAGCCCTAGCCCTACTTCCTAGGGTGCATGCAGACGCCCCTGGAAGATCGGTTTCTTGGGAATGCGCCATGTGTTTGCTTTTTCTTCGGCTCAGCGTCAATTGAAAAAAAAAAAAAATCTGCCTGGACGAGGGAAGAGGCGCATACGAACTCCTGTTCTGTGCAGGCTAGCTGGATGTGACAAGCAAAACCCATCCACCAGAAAGTAAATGGTTTTGACGTGGCTGTCTGTTGCTGACACGCGACCACGAGAGAGCCGAGAAGCCGTAGGTCTTATGGATTCTTGCCTCCCAAACAAACTATGGGCTTACTCAATCCCTACCTAGCAACAACATCGGTCACATATTGAGTGGCTTGTTGCGGGGCGGAGAGCGGAAAGAAACAGCAGATAAATCTAGACCCTGGAAATTGCCAACTGCAACACACATAGAGACACACCCGGAGCTCCTACGTCCGCTGCACGAGGAACCAACATGTGTGTCTGGCTGCGGGCGCAACCGGGAAGAATGGGCCAGGAGATGGGAAAGGGGAAGGGAGGGGGAGGGGGAGGGGGAGGGGGAGGGGAGGGGAGACCGGGGAAGGCGACAGCGATGATAAGTTAGGTCGAAAGCAGGACCATGCCAACCATGTCGCGAGCGCTGCCTGCCATCACGCAATCTGGCGGATGGCGAATGGCGACTGCGACTGTGACTGCGACTGCGTGATCGCGGCAAAGCGGTGTGCTGCTGATCGACTGAACAGCATCCAGTTCCTGAGCACGGTCGTAGGTGGCTGGGGAGGTAGGTCGTTGATTCTTTGGTTTTGCGGAACACGCTGCGAATCACTCAATAAATGGAATAGTGTACTTGGTTTTCCAACTGTTGACTGACTAGTCAACTGGATAACAGGATCGGAAGCGGAGGATACAATACAATAGCTATGCCCGATCACCAGAGTAATCCCCCTTCATACGCCATTTGTCACTATCGTGCCTTTTGGTCAGAGTCATAAAGGGCGAGTCTGCCCGCCCCACTCCCCCCAGCTCAATCGTTTCATTTCTGTCTTCTCTTTCGTTTCTTCCTTTTAGTTTCTCTTCACCGTCTAATAATATGTAATACCTCCCCTACGCCAAGTTAGCATCTATCAAATCACATTCTCTAATTACTCTCGAAAATACAAAACGGCTGGGCTGCGATCCCCTATTGTGATATTCCTGGCCGCTCCTCTCTTTGATCGCTTTCTTTATTCCAAGAAAGTTCAGCCTCCTGCTAACACATACATACCGTATAACGCTGAACACTCAAATCGTCACCATGACGAGCCATGAGAAACCTAGCATTCTCTACATTATGGCGGACCAAATGGCCGCTCCCCTTCTCTCCCTCTACGACGAAGACTCCCCTATCAAAACTCCCAACCTTGAACGTCTGGCACGCGAGGGCGTCTGTTTCGAGTCTGCCTACTGTAATTCGCCTCTCTGCGCCCCGTCCCGATTTGCCATGGTGACAGGCCAGCTGCCGTCCAAAACTGGAGGATACGATAATGCGAGTGACTTGCCCGCGGACACGCCTACCTATGCACATTATTTGCGCAAGGAGGGATATCACACAGCACTGGCGGGAAAGATGCATTTCGTTGGGCCCGATCAGTTACATGGATATGAACAACGCTTGACCAGTGATATCTACCCGGGCGATTACGGCTGGACTGTCAATTGGGATGAGCCGGTAAGCTGTTTCTTGCACAGTCATACTTCTTCTTCCTATTCTGATCAAGACAACCGCAGGAGGTCCGTCCCGATTGGTACCATGATATGTCTTCCGTGCTGGAAGCTGGGCCCTGCGTCCGTACCAATCAGCTTGACTATGATGACGAAGTCATCCATAGAGCAACTCAGTACTTATACGACCACACACGACACCGGACTGGTCAACCATTCTGCCTTACCGTTTCCATGACACACCCGCACGATCCATATGCAATGACAAAGGAGTACTGGGATTTATATGAAGATATCGACATCCCTCTTCCGAAAACACCAGTAATTCCCCAAGATGAGCAAGACCCGCATTCCCAACGAGTGCTGAAGAGCATTGACCTGTTTGGCAAGGAGATTCCGGAGGAGTGTATTTTGGCAGCCCGCCGAGCATATTTCGCCGCTTGCTCGTACGTGGACTCGCAAGTGGGCAGGCTGATGGCCACTATAAAGGCGTGTGATCTTGCCGATAAGACCATCGTCGTGTTCACAGGCGACCATGGTGATATGTTAGGCGAGCGAGGACTGTGGTATAAGATGGTATGGTATGAACATGCGGCTCGAGTGCCAATGTTCGTGCATGCGCCAGGTCGTTACAAGCCAAAGCGCGTGAAGGAGAATGTCTCCACCATGGATCTACTCCCTACTTTCGTAGCGATGACCGGAGGTGAAATTAACAACGGTCTCCCTATCGATGGCGTCTCTCTGATGCCTTATCTCCTCGACAGCGACTCGCGCGAAGCGGTTTCTGGGCTTAAAACCGACACCGTCATTGGCGAGTATATGGCTGAAGGCACCCTTGCACCAGTTGTTATGATCCGTCGAGGACCATGGAAGTTTATATACTCCCCAATCGACCCACCAATGCTTTACAATATAAAAAGAGACCCAACTGAGGCGGTCAATCTTGCTTCCGGTATCGAAATACCAACACGTCCACTTCTCAGCCTTAACGAGTCTCTTTCGCTCTCCGCAGCAAAACAGCAAACAAAACCCTTTGCAACAAGTCCCGCACCGCTTCCCACACCAAACGTCTCCCCACCCCCAGGTACACTCCAAGTCCCCTTTTCCACCGAGAACAAGACCAATTCAGCACAAATCCCCACACCTCCCCGTTCGCCCAGTCCAGGCAAAGAATCTGCGGACACAAACACAAACGAACACACAGCCACAGACACCAACACATCTCAAACCGACATCCAAAGCCTTCTCTCCGCATTTATCTCCGAAGCCTATTCGCGCTGGGACTTTACAGCACTTCGAGAACAGGTGCTGCACTCGCAACGGCGACGTCGACTTGTCTATTCCGCCCTTGTGAAGGGGCAGATGACGTCCTGGGACTATTCACCTGTAACGGACGGCAGTGCTCAGTATATCCGCAACCACAACAGGGGAGTGTTAGGGGATATCGAGCTTCTGAGCCGGTGGCCGAGGGTTGTGCAGTGGGGTGGAAGCGGGGGCAGAAACGGCGTCTGAAGCCTTGAGAGCATGGCATTTGGGATCAGCAAGTGGCTAGGTTAAATACGGGCTTTGTGGGGCGTCGGGAATAGATATAATATATATAATACTTTCTCAATGTCTAACTAAAACCTACATCCATGCACAACTGGTAGACAGTCAAAACTTACAAAATGAGGGAAATGTATAGATAGACTCCGAAAAGCTAGGTTTATCTGGTGGGGCAAAACCATACTTCAAACTTGTCTGTCTGCGGGGATGCGAAGCCTGGGTCTTTAGGCACGTTTTGTTTTACCTCTTCCATATACTGTCCCCGTCCATGGGTGATTATATCAGGTCAATGTATGCACATGTACAATCCATATGGACAATTATGCTCTACATGCATGCATGTGTGGTTTACCGTGTACATAAGGGAGCATTCGCACTTTTTATGATTGAAGGGGAGGGAAGTTGAAGAGTTCACCTGCGGGCCTGCCTGCCTGTGCCGACCAGTATAGGAAGTAAACATATTTATACATGCCTTTGGCATACGTATTGCATTTGCGTCCCAATTATATGACTTCCGGAATAGAGATGTGAAGTGAATTGGATCATCTGTTGATGGGTCAAAGGATCCCCTATTTACTTTATATTATGCTCTTATCTTTATATATATATTCCAGCGAAATCCTTTATCAGACTGCTCTATAAATACCCGGCAGTTTGCGTATGTTAGTTCACCGTCGTTGCGTCCCCTGAATGTAGAGGTGGCTATGAACATCATAAAGGGGCAGCTTCAATTATCGCACAATTTCACTGTAACATCACATAGTGTAATGACAGACAAACATTCTAGATGCAGAATGAACTATGGAAATGTGGAAAAATCATTTGTCTACTTGAGAATGATTCAATATCACATATATATATATATATATATATATATGCATTGTTACCTCGCTACTACAAAGACCCATCGTCGTCATGCTCTTTCATGCACCAACCTCCCTGCAACCCACACAGCCTTGACATTTCTATCATCTCCACTCCATACCCATTTCGCAATTTTCTCCTCCCACGACTCCCACCCGAAAATATCCACATTGCTGAGATATCCTTCCCCAGATTTCCCAACGTCCGTACAACCGTCACCATCAATCGCTTCCCCAATCTCCACCATCTGCGCATCCCACCACATGCCGACCTCAAACCCTCCAATGGCATCTTGCATACCGACAACCCTCGCCCCACCACGCGTAGCAAGATATAATCCCTCCTCAACGCTAATCTTCTCACGACCAGGCACACTTTTCGGCTCCGCTTTCGCATCTGCCTGGGCCTGGGCGTCCTGTTTCCGAAACTGCAGCAGCCGTGAGACAAGACACGCCTGCCGAACGGCCTCCAACACGCTCGGGCTCCAGCCGCCAGAGACATCCGTGCCAAGCCCCACAGTGATACCTTCATCTAGCAATTCGCGAACAGGACATAGGCCAGAGCATATGGCAGAGTTGGAGGCGGGGCAGTGTGCGACAGTCGACCGGCGTTTCGCAATGAGTGCGCGCTCATCCGGCGACAAATGCACCGCGTGTGCGAGGATGGTATGTGGGGTTAGCAGACCCACGGAGTCGTAGACATCCGCGTATGACTTTGAGGAAGGGAAAAGTCGTGCGACGAGGGCAATCTCGTTGAGGTTTTCGGATATGTGAGTTTGGATAAAGGTTGGCGGCGATGCGGAGGCCGCAAGGGGGCCAAACTGGGACAGGGCGGCTGGCGTGCAGGAGGGGGCAAAGCGAGGCGTTATAACGGGTCGGACAAGTGCGTGTGTTGGGTCGAGGCTGTTTATATGGGCGATTGTGGCTTTTGTTGCGGACAAGGAAGCAGATGCGGATTCTTCCCGATAGTATGATGGGCAAGTGGCGGGGCTGTCCATGCAAGAGCGGCCGATGAGGGCACGCTGGCCTTTCCTATGGCAGATGGTGGCCAGCAGGTTGGTGGCTGGGACGTGAATGGTGGCATAGTAAGCGGCGCAAGTCGTGCCGTGGGAAAGGGTTCGGGAGACAACACGATTATAGACCGTGTGGGCGATTGGAGGAGGTTGAGAAGGGTCTTCTTTGTTCCCGAAGGATGATTCAAGAGGGAACGTGTAGGTTTCCAGCCAGTCAAGGAGGGTGGAAGAGCCGAATATACCAGAATTGGGATACTGAGGAGCGTGGATATGAGTATCTAAGGATGAGTTAATATGCGAATCAACGTAATGGAAATATAAAAGAAGACGTAGAAGACATGAGTGTATACCGACTTACCAATAAATCCCGGAAAAAAGAACCCGTTCCTCTCTCTACTGGCCTTAACAACTCTCACCAATTCGCCCTCGCCATCCTCATCCGCAATTCCGTGAACATCACTATTCCTCTCTTCGCCTTCCACTCTCCATCCCATCCTCTTCACCAATTCCGCTAAACCCTCCTCATCCTTCACTCCCCAGTCAAATCCCTCAATCTTTCCCCCCGTCTCCGAAACCCATAGAGCACCATGGTTGATTGACAACTTATGCGTAGGCGGTGAAGTAGGTGTGGCAGGCTCATCTGGGATACGTGGCAGGTGGATGAAAGTTCCGTAGTACACAGTATGTACGTAGGAGCGCATGTTTGCAGTCATTGAGATGTTCCCTTTTATACAGATATGGTAATAATCTGCGCACTGCCTAAGATGTCTAAGACTACTTACTAGTAGTTCTTCGGGATGACTTTGCTGTTCTTAGAGCAAATTGTAGGATGGAAAATGAAGCGAGGTTGAGACCAGACTCTCTACCGTAGCTATTGTGCAAAAAACGAGTAAAAAGAAACCTGCACGCAACGGGTAACTAACACGTAGCAGGGCACATAAACGGGCTCAGATTTCTTCTTCTCGGAAAGCAAAGTCAATTGCCAATTAACTCGATTCCTCGAATTTCAGCAGATGATGTAACGAAATGCTTGAAGCGCCAGCCAATGACCAAATATTGCCAGCCGGTTCAGCAGGAGCTAATAAGGAATTTGTCCACAGCCCCACGAAATGTGATTTAGACGCAATAAATGCGGGCAAAATGCAGCTCGCACTGCTAGGCCAGGGAGATCAGATTTGACAACCTTGCAATCTACAAAGCGAAAGATGTTAGAAGGGGGATCATCAGGTAAGAAAAGAATGGAGAGAACGATCTATGAAGTGAGGTTGCACGCAGATTGGTTGTTCACCCTCAAGGCATCCATGGATGATGGGATGGGAGATCGTTCAAAGATAATCGCTGTCATTAACTACTCCGACTTGGCCTGGAAGGAGAGTGGCACGTGAAGGCTGGGTTAACCTTAAGTTTCACCTCAGTTAATTCAGGGGAAAAGAGGGAAAAAATGGGTATAATGTTAAAGAGGTACAAAGGCTGTCGCTATCTACGCTAATTTGCACAAGGAAAACTTCGATTTATCATGAGAAGAACAGACGCTGAGAATGTGAACCCAACCATTATGAATGAGGGAACTGTAAGAGACTGTTTCACTTAATTTCACTAAACTGAAAAGAACTGTGATAGATATATACACATACACGCACGCACGCACGCACGCACGCACACACACAGACACCAAAAAAAAAAAAAAAAAAAAAAAAAAAAAAAAAAAAACTATATCTGTATAAATCGTAAATTCTTTTAGAATGAAAATTAACTGCAAGGACAGCGTGTAGGATGGATGGCGGTGTTAAACGCCGTGCCACGTCAGGGATTTGTTGAATAAGGGGTTTGAGAAAGAGGTTCGCGTTTCTCTAGGAATGCGCGTTTCGTGGGGAGAGGGAGAGCTAGTGTACGTGGGAGATAGTTTGAGGTATGGGAAATATACGAAGGTGTGTGTGGAGGGGAAATTTTTTAGAAAGAATTAGGTGCATCTAGGGAGCTGTAAAAGACAAGACATAGGCTTCCACCCTGTAATACATTGCTCAATAACTCTCTCTTGTTCCTCAGGATAGTTTATGACGTTGGAGTGACGGTATCTTCTACGGGCCCACAGGTACAGAAGAGGTTTTGGTCACCGAATGCTAGCCAGGAATATTAGCCAGGTCCAACGTGGAAAAAGTTTATCAGAAACAGAAAAATTTGCACTCACCGTCATCCACCCTGGTTACGCTGGGCCAGAACCTCTTCTCCAACAACCACGGCAGGGGATACGCCGCCTTCTCTCGCGTGTACGGTCGATCCCATTCCGTCGAAATTAAATCCCGCTGCGTATGCGGCGCTAACTTGAGTACGTTCTTCTCCTTGGGCTGTTCACCGCGTTCGATGGCAGCAATCTCATTGCGAATGGAAATGAGCGCGTCGCAGAAGCGGTCGAGTTCATCCTTGTTCTCAGATTCAGTGGGCTCGATCATAAGCGTATTGGCGACGGGCCAGGACATGGTTGGGGCGTGGAATCCGTAGTCCTGCAACCGCTTGGCGATGTCGATGGCTTCAACGCCGGAGGTGGCTTTGAATTTGCGAACGTCGAGGATAAACTCGTGTGCGCAACGGCCGTTGGCATTCGTGTATAGAATGGGGTAGTGGGGCTTTAGGCGGGAGAGAATGTAGTTCGCGTTGAGGATTGTGATTTTTGTAGCGTGGGTTAAACCCTTGGCACCCATCATGTTGATGTAGGAGAAGGTGATGGGCAGGATGCTGGCGCTTCCCCAGGGTGCAGCACTGATGGGAGGAGCGGGTGTTGAAGCGGCACGCCTAGACTGCAAATATTCGCTGAGGGGGTGGGAAGGCAGGAAAGGTTTCAGATGCTCAGCGACGCCAATTGGACCAACTCCAGGTCCGCCACCGCCATGAGGGATACAGAAGGTCTTGTGGAGGTTAAGATGACACACATCCGCTCCGATTTCGCCAGGCGAGCACAGGCCGATCTGTGCATTTAGGTTTGCGCCATCCATGTAGACCTGGCCTCCATTTTCGTGGACAATCTTGCATACCTCCTTGACTCCGGGCTCGAAAACACCAAATGTACTAGGATAGGTGATCATGATTGCTGCCAACTCCTCTTTATGCTTCTCACACTTTGCCTTGAGATCCGGAAGATCGAGATTGCCGGTCGTAACATCACACTTGACTGGCAACACCTTCATGCCGGCCATGGCAGCGCTAGCAGGGTTGGTTCCGTGGGCAGACACCGGAATCAAGCAAAGATTCCTCTTTCCTGGTGTTCCAATCGAATCTTGGTACAGCTTAATCGCTCTGAGACCAGCGAATTCTCCCTGTGCTCCAGAGTTAGGTTGAACTGTTACCTCAGCCATACCAGTAATATCAGCAAGTTGCCGCTCGAGATCCTCGATCATGTCCTGGTACCCAGTGACGAGGTTGGATGGAGTAAACGGGTGCATTGCAGAAAATTCTGGCCAAGTTATAGGAAGCATCTCCGTAGTAGCGTTGAGCTTCATTGTGCAGGATCCCAGTGGGATCATCGAATGTGCCAAAGACAGGTCCTTTGAACCAAGATAGGTGATATATCGTAGCATTTCCGTTTCCGAATGATGGGTGTTAAAAACTGGATGCATTAGATATGGTGACGTTCGTTTTACACTAGCAGGGATTTCTACTTCAGGGCCCTCTTCGCTGATATCAAGCAGACCCGCAGGGACGCCTTTTGGTGCTTTCTTCGCAAAAACTGCTAGCAAATCCTTAAGTTGTTCGATACCAACGGTTTCATCCAATGAAACGCCAATTTGAGTAGGGCTAAGTCTTCTTAGAAAGATGGACGACTCCAGTGCCGCAGCAATCAACGAGTCTGCCTCTGCGCTGCTTCCCATATCTACTGTCAACGTGTCGAAGATTGCAGGAGTGTTTCCCTTGGTTGGAACGGTGTATCCCAGAGCCCGTAACTTATCCTGAAGCAGGTTTGTCAACGACATGATCCGCTGGGCAATGGCTTTCAAGCCTTTGGGACCATGGTATACCGCATAAAACGCGCTCATATTGGCAAGCAAGGCTTGAGCTGTGCAGATGTTGCTAGTAGCCTTCTCACGGCGGATATGCTGTTCCCGGGTCTGCAGAGCAAGGCGAAGTGCAGGATTTCCTAGCCTGTCTTTGGAAATGCCTACAATCCGACCAGGGATTTTCCGCTTGTATTTTTCAGCGCAGGAAAAGAAAGCAGCATGAGGACCACCGAATCCCAAGGGTACACCGAAACGCTGAGCAGTTCCGAAGGCAATGTCGGCGCCAAATTCCCCAGGAGGTTTCAACATGGTGAGAGCAAGTAGATCAGTTGCCACACTAAACGTCCCCCCAATTTCATGGATTTTATCACTAAGCGACTGGAAATCGGAAATACCGCCCTCAGTGTCAGGATACTGCGCAAGGACACCGATCAAACGGTCGCCTTGGTCCTTAACCAATTTGAACTCCTCAGCCATAACATCCCCGACCACTAGCTTGATTCCAAAGCCCTCTGCTCGCGACCTCATTACTGCGATGGTCTGCGGGTGGCACAGGTGAGAGACAACATAAGACTTTCCGTCTTTCTTCTGTCTCTGGGCCGGCATTGTGGCCCAGGACATGGTCATGGCTTCTGCAGCAGCAGTAGCCTCATCCAGAACCGAGGCATTGGCAACTGGGAGGCCAGTCAAATCCGCTGTCAATGTCTGGAAATTTAGTAACGATTCCAACCGGCCCTGGCTAATCTCTGGCTGGTAGGGGGTATAGCTAGTATACCAAAGAGGATTTTCCAAAACATTTCGCTGGATCACTGGTGGCACAACGGTATTATAATATCCACATCCAATATACGGCTTCCCGCTCGCATCGATGCTTTTCCTGTACTTCTCCAGTAATTTGATCATATCAGTCTCCCCCAGCCCGCCATGTAGGGGATCCCTATGCAGCCTTGTCGTGCCATTGGGGCTTGTAACCTCCAAGTTCCTTTTGGACAAGATATCTGCAGGGAGAACCTGTTTCACGAACTCGTCCAGAGATTTGGCCGGGGGATCCAGGGCTTTGAGCATCTGCTCCACTGTATGCGGGGAAGGGCCAATGTGTCTGCGGGGGAAAGAATCGAGGGGCTGAAGGAGATCTCGGGGTTGTGGCGCGCCATGATTAGCGACGGAGCTGCTGTGAACAGTTCTGAGGCTCAAATAAGTAGGCAGTCGAGAGCGTGTCAATTGCAGGCATTGTCTACAAGCTGTCAAAGCAGATGGTCGAGCAGCTCTTGCAACACCTCTAGGATATTGAAGAGCTAGATGACGACCCCCGCCACGCAATAAACCGGAGGACGGAGCCGCTGCCATGATGCTCCTCCTTGGAGGACTTAACCAGCTGCTCGCAATGAAACTATCAATCGTCGAGATGTACAGAGCGTCCTACACACCCAAAACGAAGGTCGGGAAGCACAGGGAAGGGAACGAATGACAACCAGAGAAGAAGAAAGGAAAGGAACACAGAAGGTAACGAGGAGAGAAGAAGGGTTCGGGATAGGGATTGGACATAAGAGTGAGGTTTAGCTGTTGTGAGAATCGCTGCTGATTAGATGAGAATAGGCAAAAATTCCGTGTAATACCGTGACAATACGTATAATACGGTAGAAGAACCGAAGTCGGCCAACGGGAGGGCTGCTTATTGGCTGGATAACACAGGCAAAGCTCGGTTCAAAGAG